TAATTTCTTTCTGTCGACGTGAGCGTACGCGATGCGAAAGCTATTGGTGCTTCGCAACCATTTTCAAGAACATGACTTAAGACAGTTCCTACGCCAAACGGAGATGCATCGCAAACTAAAGTTATCGGCAATTTTTCATCGAACGGAACCAAAACCGATTCGGAACTTAGCAATTCTTTTAAATATCGAAAAGCTTCATCGTGGACTTTAGACCATTTCCACACTGAATCCCTATCTAGAAGCCTTTGTAATGCTTCAGCTTTAGTAGCTTTGCCCTTTAGAAAACTATTATAAAAGTTTATCAAACCCAAAAACGCTTGTAACTGAACTTTATTTTTAGGTACCGGAAAAACATGAATCGCTTCTACTTTACTTTTGGAGGGGTGGATACCCTTCGCATCGATACGGTAGCCCAAAAAATCTACTTCCGTTACCCCAAATAAGCATTTGTTCCCGTTTGCTTTAAGTCCCGCTTTTCTTAAACGATGTAGTACTTGTTCCAAACGAGCGGCTAACTCTTCTTCCGAACTTCCTCTGACGAGTACATCATCAAAATACGGAACAACCCCTTCTAAATTTCGAAACAAATCTTCTATTGAATTTTGAAATATTCCTGGGGCTATGTTAATTCCGAATTGAAGTCTTTTTACCTTATACTCACCCTTATGCGTGATGATAGTCTGAGCTTCAGCGGAAGCATCATCAACCGGTAATTGTAAATATGCTTGAGCCAAATCTATTTTAGCATAATAACCTCCTCCTTTAAGATTAGAAAGAAGATGATTTACCGCGGGAAATGGATAAGGATGTGTGTTCATTGCTTTGTTTAACGTGATTTTATAATCACCGCACAAACGTACTTCACCTTGTTGACCATTTTGGATTTGAAATTTCCTCAATAACTCCTTCACTTTGAAGTTTTGGTAGGGCGGCTTCAATTTTGGGCCTCATTGCCAAAGGCACGCTTCTTGCTTTACATCTAACAGGCGCTATATCCGAATTTATAGGAAGCGATACTGGATTACCCGTATACGAACCCAATTTGTTATCAAAAATATCATCGTAATTTTTAAGAACATTTTCGATAATTCCAGTTCTAATTTCGTTTACTCCTGTTATTGAAATTCCTAAAGGTTCAAACCAAGAATACCCCAAAATATTCGTACAGTGATTATTTGAAATTAACAATTCTAACTTAGATTTGAAAAGGTTATGCACAACTTGAACCTTACATACGCCAGCTAGTGAAATCCCATTTTTAGAAAAGTTGCGCAGTTTAATCAAAGTTTTTTTGATCGCAGGTTTCTTAGAACGGAAAACTTTATTCAGCGTTTGCAAAGAAATAATCGAATAATATAAACCCGAATCAATTTCCATTTCTAATTTTTCCTTATCAACCTCAACAATAACGTTTTTCTTAAACGGATATTGAGAACTTAAAACATTCAAATATTCCGGTTGAACTTCAATTTCATTTGCGCGCTGTTTTTCAAATTTATTTTTCTTCCGACAAACTTTTACAATGTGACCCTTAAGACCACAACAATGGCATATTGCATTTTTGAATTTGAACGTTCATGTTTACCACCGCAACCGAAACACACTTTAGAATTTTGAATTTGCGATTTGCTACTACCTGAAACATTAGAATTTAGTTTGCTAAATCGCGCATTATTTCTTTTGTTCCCACCACGTACAAAATCAACTACATCCGAATTCTCAGAATAAGAAGAATTTTGGGTATGAATATGCTTTGATTGGGAGGCCGCAACCTCAGATGCTACGGCAACAGAAATAGCGTTTTCAGGAGTTAATTTGGATTCAGCCAACAATCTTCTTTGAACCTCTTCATCACGAATACCGCAGGCTAATTGATCTCGTAAACGTTCTGACAAAGTTTCTCCGAAATTACAATCTTCGGCCAGCTTTCTTAACTCAGTAACGTAAGCATTCACAGATTCTAACTTGGATTGAAATCTTTTATGAAACTTGAAACGTCGAAATATTTCTGAAGATTTAGGACAAAAATGTTCTTTTAAAAGTTTAATTAATTCTTGAAATTTAAATTCTGTAACTTCCTTTGGCAAAACTAAAGTCCGAATTATAGACAAAGTTTTAATTCCACAAACAGCTAAAAGAGTCGCACGCTTTTTACTATCATCTACGATAGAATTAGCCTCCAAAAAGTAAGTAATTTGATCAGTATTCATTATTACTCGAATGAATTTGGATTTGAAGTGTCAAATTCCTGAATAGAGCCTACCATCGCCATCTTAGTGCGAAATTTAACTTAAGCCATACGAAAATATCGCAAATAGAAAAACGCAATTAAACATTTAAATCACCTACCGGAAGTATTAAATAATACCGGTATTGAATCTCATGAACAACTCATGGCTGGCAATCTTCTCCACAGAAATCCAGTTGATATCCAATTGCATCTTCACAAAAAATCCAATTGCAGTGGAACTTCGTGATGCTGTGCGGTCGAATGATAGTTTTCGTGAAATAGGATCAGTGGAATACAATCCCTTCTCGTCGCCACGTATTGTATTGTGAGATATTCTTGGTGGTATCCAGATAAGACACATAATAACAAAGGTATAAGTTTAATAAAACATAACAATAACATGCTTACAGCACGTAACAAGGTTAGCGATGAACATCTATTAGGAATGGGCATATATACTCTCTGGAAAGGTAAGGCAGCGCCGCTATTCAGAAACTACAGGCTGTCGTCGTTGACTCGTAGTGATGACGGAAGGTGACGTCGGTTGACATCACAACACCCCTTTGCCCTAGGATAGAACAAAGTCTTTGAACCTGCTTGGCCTGACGATGGTATGTCTGGGCCTCAAGTTTCTGGAAGTCTGTTCTGGAACTGGAACAGAAGACTCTTGATTTGGTATTGTAGGTTCAACTACTGCACTCTGCGAATCAGCACTTGAAGGAATGGGANATTTTTGAAAGAGATGCTGAAAACTTATTAAAATTATTTTTTAACCATGGAATATCTAAAAACCCTTTTTATGAGTTAGAGGTCCATTACTTGAAAAAGTACTTCATGGATCAATCTGCGAAAAAGCTTTGTTGGTTTTTTTTCTTTTTTTTTAAATTTGACTAAAAATTTCTCCTAGGCTACGTAAATTTCCTCTAAACCTCTTTTGTGGGATTGAACATATTCTGCAGCCCTGGTTGAATGTAACATTTTAAAATAATATATAAAATTAACTATGTTGAGTTAAGAGAAAATTTTACTTAAAAAGTATGATTGAGTTTTAATTTACAATAAAGCATTTATTTTTTTCAAAAAACTAAACTCAGTGACTGTACAGCCCACAAAGAGACAATGTTTGAGGGCATCCTTATTTTCTTGACCTTGGGTTAATTTTTTTAATCATTGAAGTTGTCGTTATTTGATTTGTTCACTTAATTATCATTGAATGATTATTAAAGCATGAGTTTCTTTCTAAAATTTTAATTATTTTTTAAGAATGTCACATATATTTTCATTGGTAATCAAAGATAAAACCTAGAAACAAGCTTGCATTCTAACTAAATTATTTTTAGAACTAATAGCTTAATATAGCATTATTTGTATTTCGTTTAAAAAAAAAAAGTGCGTTATGTGATTTTTCATTTAAAAATCAAAGTAAAACTATGTAAAAAATGTTACATATTTTGATGTGCCATAAAGATCTAAATTTTTTTTTAAACTAAATTTCTATATTTTTATTTCTATTGCATTCTATGTTCAATTTTGACTCTTAAATATAATATGAATGATTTTCCTTATTGTTTTAAATCAAAAGTTTTCGGTTTTCTTAAGAAAATATTGATAAAAAAAAGTTACTTGTCTATTAGTTGGATACCAGGCGATGGTTGGCAAAAAGCTCCAAGCTTTATCAGCTGTTTATTTATTTGACCCTAGTGGAGTGTAGTTTTAATTACATTGAATTCACAATAATAAAAGAAAACATGTGGGGGAGAAACATCTTAAGAAAAAAATTTATTTACACAGAAGGCATAATTTCTCTTACAGTTGCTATAAAATAAATTTGTCTTGGAATGCAAACATAACTAACCTTTTTCCTCATCCTTGTCAGCCATTTTGGTACTGTGATATTTGTCTGGCACAACCAAACAAATAAGTACTAAAAAACCTATTGTGGTTTTTAAAAAAATCAATGGTTATTACATTTTATATCTCAAAGTTGAATTATGATATTAATTATAGAATGTCAAGCAATCAATTTTATGAATAAAGTATTTTAAATTAATTTTATTATACACATATACATTACTCTACCATGGCCAAGACCCTAGCACCATTTTTAGTGTTTTAATTTTATAACAAACATAAGTAACCTTTTTCCTTATCCTTGTCAACCATTTTGGTGATGTGGTATTTGTCTGGCACAACCAGTTAACAAATAAAGTGCTAAAAAACATATTGTGACTTTAAAAAAAGTAATGGCTATGACGTTTCATATTTCTATGTCGAATTATGATATTAATCTATGATCTATGTCGAATTATGATATGATAATATCAAGCAATCCATTTCATAAATAAAATATTTTAAACTAATTTTATTACAAACATATATATCACTCAACCATGGCTAAGCACCTAGCCCCTTTTTTAGGGCTCTATCTCTTAACAGCTATGGTAAGAATGCCACGTAATTTTGACCCTTGTCAGATGATGCGGACAATGCCTGAACTGGCACCCCTCTCTCCAAACTTCCACACCTCACCCAGCAAAAGGACTTGCAGCCATTACAGATTTAACATGCACCTTACTGTGTATACATGCCAATTGCTTTGTCAATTTTCTCAGGATCGAATTCACTACCCCTAACTCTCTAACCAGCTGTGCGAGTAATGCCTCAACCGACTGCACTACTGGAGCTCATAAATATACTTTATTCCTGATATCTTTTTACAGGGTGCGTAGCGTTTTTAAAAAGTGCTTAAAGGTGTTTATTTTTGATTTACGTTTTTTAAAAGCCCTTAACGGTGTTTTTTTTATTTGGTGTTTGTAAAAAGTGCTTAATTTGTTATCTTTTAAGAAGATATTTTTTCTTTGCCGCATCGATTGTCGTTCTAAATTATAAAAAATTCATGATTTTTATAATTTTCTCTGCAATATTTGTCAGAAACTAGTTATTTTATCATGATTATGTAAAGTTTTTAAAAATGTTTTTGAATTTTATTGATTTTATGTTTATAAATAACCCATAATAATAACTTATAAACTTTAAAACAACAGAAAAAAAGAATTTTTGTTATTGCATAGATCCTAGTTATGATTTTTTTTTTTTTTGGAAAGTGATTAAAAGTATTTTTTAAGTGCTTAAAAAGTACTTAAAAGGTGCTTATTTTTTGATGAAAAATCTGGCTACCACCCTGTTTTATCATGTCATTGGTTATTAATGTCCAATTTTCAATTCAAATAAAGTTATTAAAATTTTATTTATGATTAAAGGTTTTTGGTTTCTAGAACTAGTATAAATAAATATTTTGTTTAAAGTTAAAATCTCTCTTTTTGTTCAGGATGTTTTGATCAATTGTCAAGCACCAGTGACTTCACTTGCTGTAAATCCTCTTATACCATATCAACTGGCAGTTGGATCTGCTGATGCTTCCGTCCGCATATTTGATCGCAGAATGCTATCTACTCAAAGTGCTGGTAATATTTTTGAAATTACTTAGAAATTATTTAATATCATTTTGAAATTACATTTTGAAATTATATTTGTAAATATCACAAAATTGCATAAAATCTCTAGTTTAAAATAATAAGTATTTTTCTTTTATTAAATAACTAGTTGTAGTACCCAAATTTGTTTAAGCAAAAGAAAGAAAGTTATAATTTACCCTGTACAAGTCGACTTTTTAAATTCCTGAAACTTTACGAAAAACAGGGGTTAACTTATACGCCGGTAATAAAGTAGGACATTCATTGATTATGAAATATCATTGCATTATAAGCAATGAGATAGATATGACTATCTCTTTGTCAATTTACCTTTACAAATTACTCCTTTCAAAAACTATTTTTAATACATTAAATGCAATTAATTTTGCATTTTCTCTCAACATATTTTCTTTGCATATAAAGTTTTTTTTAAAAAAACAGTACTTTAAATTAAGTTCAGATAAAAATTAAGAATAACAAAAGTTTGATAATTTATTCAAGAGTATTTAAAAAAAATCAGGTAATGAAAACTTTTGAAACATAACATGAAGCTATAAATTTAAAAGATTTCAGAGCATCATCTGTGTCGGATTCGATAACGTTTGCAGTGTTGTGATTCAGATCTCACTCTGAAATAGATTCCTTTTCATGCTCATCTGGTGAATTTTACAAAAAAATTGTCTTCACGCCCATTGAAAGAATTCTACATGTTTTATAATATTTTCTAATAACATTTAAATCCATGTGGTGCCACGCATCTAGTATCATTTGACTCCATCAACTCACCGACAGCGATCGACTTACACACCAAGTTTCATTCTTTTCAAAATAGTTTTAAAATATCACTTAAGATTAATTCAAATTAGTTTTAAAATGTCCTTTAAGATTGATTTGTTTAAAAATTGTATGTAAATAAAGAAGTAGAGAATGTATGGTTCCTCTTGTCATGAATCACACAGATGCAAGGATTAAGAGAAGATGGAAACCTTTAAATAGATTCTATACCTACTATTGGTCATGTGTTTGTAATAGGGATGAGAGAGGCTTATTAGCTGCAGAAAGCTTTCAGGTTTGGCTTCATAATAAAGTTTTCATATGATTTCTTTCTAACTTAATAAATATGAAAAAAACATTATTTGATTCATTTGTTAAGCATTAAAAAAATCGTAAAATCATTAACTTTTGATCCCAATATAAGAAAACTCAAATAATGTATCTTATATTATAGCCTTACATCTTTTTAGACTATTAGCTGATTTATTAAATTTCTTGCTCCAGCAGGCTTGACCCCTGAAAAACTCGTACTTCTTTCGGTCAGACTCTAACCATCAAAAAATAGCTCGTTTTAGTCCATGTGTTCATTTCTTTCAAAATGTTTGTAAAAAACAGAATCTGGCAATTATTTTGAAGAAATAATCATCACTAATTTCATCTAAGAGACTTGGTAAACTTTGAAATTGAAAAACCTTTTGCATTTTCTAGTGTCACTAAATGATAATGAGCTGTGATGGCTCAGAGAATAGAGTGTTCGCCTTCCAGTGAGGTGAGCTGGGTATGAATCCCAGCGATAGCTGGTCGATATGAATTTCAAACACGGCTCGTACTGACCACAGTGCTGACGTAAAATATCCTCAGTGGTAGACAAATCATGGGTTAGAGTCCTTTTGCCGTCAGGCTAACCGTGTAAAGTTTTCATGATTTTACTCAACGTGTAACGCAAATGAAGGTTAGTTCCATGAAAAAAAAATTTAAAAAAGTCCTCCATAAAGGCAAATTTTGCCTAATACTTGATCCAGGAGTTCCTTTCTCTTCTGGTTTGAGTTCAAGATTACAAAACTACAGAGTTGAACATTAGTAGTCGTAAACCAAAAATTCAATCGGCTGTTCAACGACGGTTATAAAATAAAATAGGGGATAATATATTTTGCTCCATGTGTATTTTACATTAAATACTGTTGAAATTCAAACACAAAAAAATTTTGAGTGTTTCCTATCAGTGTAAATAAAAAATTGTAAAAAACAAACAGTTTTTAAAATTTTTTAGTTTAATTTTGTTTACTCCTTTGATTGTTTTAGGATTTCCTTGGATTTCACGAGCACTCTAATTTTATTAGCAAATTGTCTTAGTTTCATTATAAACAAGTTTATTTGAGTTACTCTAATACAGTCGGACTTCTATTTAACGAACTTCCATTTTGGAATGTTTTCAACGAACTAAGAACAATTTGGAAATTTCTTTGTAAAATAACTTCCAAATAGCGAAGTGAATTTTCTATTCAACGAACTTTTCTTTGAGATCCACTTTCCTTATTTTCCAAAATATTTCAGAACATTTCAAACTTTATGGGGGAAATGAACTTTAATTAATTTTCGAAGCAACTGTTTTATGTAATGCTCTACTGCTTTCTCTAAAAGTTATTTTAGAGAAAGCGGTAAAATCCCTTTCCTTTTTTTTTATTCTACTGCTTTCTCTAAAAGTTATTTTAGAGAAAGCGGTAAAATCCCTTTCCTTTTTTTTTTATTTGCATTTTAAATGAAAAACTCAGTACAAATAATGGATTTTAACAGTAGCAATTAAACTTAAGAATGCATGTTTAAAATTACTTTTATAATAAATGCAGCTATAACTTTATATATAAATGTAGCATGATAGTATAACACTGGATAATGTTTTGCTCTATTCTTGCTTTCCATGCAGATTCCTTTTATGGTTAAGATTTATGAAATAAATAGTAGATACTAGTTTACAAGATAAAGGTGCATCAATTGCTATTTTAATAATGCCTAGTGTTATGAAATTAAAACCTGTTTTGTGTTGTTTAAATAAAAGGTGATTTTCTATTTTACGAATTTTCCATATAACGAACTTATTACCGGGATTTAGCGACTTTGTTAAATAGAGGTCTGACTGTATTTCTATCAATAACAATTTCTAAAAATATGTCTTAGGTGTTCGTGTCAGCAATGGCTTTCAAGCTCTTATGACTTGCTTTACTGTGCCTGAATTTGAACAAAGCAGAAGAATAACTTCATTGTGTTACAGTTCTGATGGTCAAGAAATGCTTGTTAGCTATTCATCAGATTACATTTACCTGTTTGATGTGAAGGTAAAGCAAATTTTTTTAATCAGTAGTCTATTTATTTGATGCGCTTTTCAATATTTCTAAAACTATAGAAAATATTTTTGCTTGTATCGTATTATAAATAAATAAAAAACAAAGGAGAAATTAGCATTATTTTAGTTCATGAATTCACTGATTATCAAATAACATTGAAGACTTGACTATCTTATCCCATGGTGATAGGTATTTTATTTATTGCTATTTAACAAACAAATTGCATAGCAAAAGTCCATCTTCAAATCTCTGTCTATTGTAATAATTTTTTTATGTTGAACTTTAGTATAAATATCACCCCTTTTTTTAAAAAAAATTGATTTTCCTTTAAAAGATTTTTATACTTTTACATTTGCCATGTAAGAAAAAAGATGTTAAATTTGTGAATTCATTGGCAAAATTCCGTCTGTAGTTAATTTCTTTTTCTTTTAAATTTTTAAGAAGTAAAGTTGTAAAGGCAAATATTTAAAAAAAAAAAAGTTTCTTATTATTACTTAAAAAGTGTTTTAAAAATAATTATGTGCTAAATTTTATTGCTTAAAAGTTGAAAGTAATTATATATCTATTTATATTCATTTTATGACATTGAAATAAGATAAAGAAACAGCTGTAGTAGCTGATATTTTTAAATTAGAAATGCGCTTATTCATAGTTTCTGCAGAAGCATATATTATCTAATTTTCAGTAGCTCTTTAAGAAAATTTTCATTTCTATTTTGATAGAATAGAACAAAGTTTAAAAAAAAAATTTTTAAAGTACAAAAACATTTTTAAAGAAAAGATTCATAAATTCTACACTTTAATTTTTTTTTAATTTAAAAAAGATAAAAATGAAGAACATCTTAAATTATAATACATAGGTAAGACTTAAATTAAAAATTTTTAATTTTTCATTACTTTTTTTCTAAAATTTGTAATTTAGCATTGAAAATTAAAATAAACCTAGTAGAAAAACCCAAATATTTCAAACAATAACTAAAAGATAGAAGAAACCTCTAATTCTAGTTTTGAAGATAAGTTTTTTGTCACTAATGTTGATTAAAATATGGAAACGAACACAAAATTGGAAGTTTAGCAACTGTTGGAGTAAATGTTGAAATTCGTTTCAAATTTACAAACTAGTTTCTTCGTTCTGTGCAATAGGGACAGAAAAAGGGGGGGAAACACTTAAAACAGCATATTTATATTAATTTCTATTCGTTTGACCTATGTTTTGTTTGTCTCTTTCTAGTCTTAAGATATTTTATGTATACTTACAGGATGATTTTGAAAAGACTCCTAAAATTCTATGTAAAGATGGGCCATCTACTTCAAGTGATCCAGATAATGTATGTATGCATTGTTTGTTCAAAAATTTATTGTGAGTTTATTCTTGAGAAGAACCACACTAAATGTTCATGCAGTACTAAATGTACACTCTATAGTACCAAATATGTGTAAATAGATTCGCCAAAAACATTTCATTTGGTCTAATGTAGGAGAGTTAATGTCCTATGTTAAATCATTCTGATTTTTGTAGTTTAAATCAATTTCTGTGATTGTGCTCAGATGTATTCACTTCTGAATTAGCTTGAAAAATATCTGAAAAAATGTAGTCACAATCGATTCAAGATAGATTTTTACTTGATTGTTATGTAGCCCTGATCAGTTTTTGCAAAACCATAAGTTTTGTTACAAAAAAAATTTTTCATTATTGTGAGCTATATGAATCTCTTACCAAATTATTTTTTTTTTATTCATTTATTTTTTCTGGAATTTATCATTATCAAAATTTTAAAATATAATAGATTTAAACTAGATTTTCCTGTAAACATGTAAAGTAATTTTGTAAATGTAAAGTAAAAGACTGTGATGATTAAAATCAGCCTTAATATGATATGCATTTAATTTGTAATTTTAAATAATTTTATTCTTGTAGCTTTTGTTAATATAATCTTGTATACAATAATTCATCGAGACATAGACATCATATTAAAACTAGTTTTTTTATGCATTTAAAAATGTTTGTGTAACTGTACTATCCATAGACATTTTATTTAAACTGTTCATAATGTTTATTTCCTATACATAAATTTTATTGTGAACATCTAAGTATAAGTATTTTCATAAATGTGCTTATATGTTCATGTTAGAAGGAAANCCAGAAATATATTTTAGGATATTTAACCTCTTTCTACACCTCGATTCCAGCAGTTCGATGTGTTTATTGCCAAGAATCTCCTGGTCCATAATAAAACCCAAATATTTTGCATTCTTTTCGTAAGGCAAAAATTTTATTCTTGTTTTATTTTATTCTTGTAAATTTTATTCTTGTAGCTTTTGTTAATATAATCTTGTGTACAATAATTCGAGACATAGACATCATATTAAAACTAGTTTTTTTATGCATTTAAAAATGTTTGTGTAACTGTACTATCCATAGACATTTTATTTAAACTGTTGGTAATGTTTATTTCCTATACATAAATTTTATTGTGAACATCTAAGTATAAGTATTTTTATAAATGTGCTTATATGTTCATGTTAGAAGGAAAAAAATTTTCCAAGGTTAATGAAATTTGAGTCTACCTTAAAAGATATATCACATTAAACACATGAAAAATAAGAAAGTATTTACTTAAAATCAATATATCCCTATACAATTCGCAAAATAGTTAATATTAAGTTTGTTCACATTAATAAGAGTTCTGCAGAACTTGTATGTTATTTCTGCTCTTTCTTTTTCTCTACAAAGTTTACAGCAGCAGAACCCTTAAGTTCCATGGAAGAGTTATATGGGTTTTGTGAGTTAAGACTTTTTTAAACAGTTTTTTTTTTTTTAAACATTTTTCGAAATCTGTAAATATATTTAGATCCAATAAACAACATCATTTACTTATTGTTTTGATTGCCTTTTATGAAATTATTTTAAGTAAAATGTCAAAGAGAAAAATGAATTTTTCTTTTATTTCTATAATTTTTCTAATTACAATTATGAAAAGGACATGCATTTATAAAAAATTGAATTAATATTTCACATTGTGCTTTTCAAATCAAAATAAAATAACTGAATTCTTTAATAAGGAAATATGTTTCCCTAATAACTATTTTCAACAATTATGGCAGGTTTTTTTTTTTTTTCATTTTATAACAATATAAAAATAGATTTATAATTAAACCGGATTCAACTGTCATAGATAATACTTATAATGCTGAAAAAATTGGGAATTGCTGCTCTATAGCTATAAAGAAATTAACTGTAGGTCAAACTTTTCACCAACGTCTGAGATAATTTACTCAGTTTCTTCAAAAAATGTCAATTTGTTAATTATCTGTTATATGTCTTGCTTTCTTGGAAATAAGATAATCTTTTTTGTTCCTATTTTTGCTAAGGATTCTGGTTTATCTTTCCGTGGACGACCTTTAATGAAAAGACTAAGAATAAGAGGCGATTGGTCTGATACTGGTCCCAATGCTCGGCCTGAATCTGAAGCTCGAGGTACATTCTTTTTTTTTTTACTGTTTTACAAATATAAATATAAAAATTTTTAATAATTAATAGTCTTTTCACTGTCTAAAATAAAATCATAGTTCATAATGCATTTTTAATAGTTTTTTTGCGAGATTTTTATGTAACTGAATATTCTAGTTCTTTTGTTTGAGATGTGTTACAAATAATACTGAAAACAAGGGGTTGCATGTTTTGTTTAAAAAGCAATGAATTTTTAAACTTAGTTAATTTCAAATCATGCTGCTATCATATCACTATATTTCAAAGCCTATGTTTCATGAGTTATTAGGCTTTAAAATGCTCTAAGAGTCTTTAAAAAAATTATTTAAAAGTACTAGAAAATACTAAAGCAAACAACAATGCAAAAAAGAACTGTTTTTTTACTTATAATGTCAATAAACTCATTAATAGCAAACTTGTGAGCTCAGGGATGACATGCAAAACATGTTTGCTTGTGTGTGTGAAGAAAGAAAATATGATATAAGTGAAAGATTTTGTTTTGAGAACAGGCAAAAATTCATAAATTCAATTTTAGTTTTCTATCTATATCTTTCATAACATTTTACAGTTAGATCTTACCTATGCTATGCAATTGGTCATTGAACCTCAGAATATTTTTGATTCAGTTACTCTCAAATTTGGATTATACGAATGCTTAACAATGTAAAAAACCATCTTTTGGTAAGTTTTATTTTTATTGATGTGATGCTTGTTTTTATTAAAGCAGAATTTTTATTCTGCTAACCTTTCATCATGTCTGTGTTTCTGTTTTATATATATATATATATAAAAGCATCATAAAAAAATCATTTCAGTAACAGATATTTGATAAATTCAGCTAGATCAGCATGTATTCGAGGAAAGTCTCTAAACAAGCATAAAGTTTTTGTCATCAGATGTGTGCCTTTTTTCTGAAACATATCTGGCTTTAAGGCTGTATAAATATAAGAGATTTCTCTACACAAAGTTATTGAACAAAAGAATTGTGAAACAAAATAAAATGTATGTTGCTTACAAACATTAATTATTACAATAATATTATTCAAAATGAATTAAGAATTAAACATTTGTGAAAATAAAAGGAATTCGTGTCTTCAAAAATGGAAGAAAGAATTAGATTTTTTAAATTAAGGAAATTTTCTGCTGAACATCAGGACTTACTGCGTATGTACATGTGTGGCATGTCACTATATTAAAAAATAGGATTTTTTAGTTGTGGTTCACATCAGCAGAAAAGACCCACTACTCCATTTATAGAATATGAAGCAAAAGAGATGCTTAGTTGATAACATAACAATTTCTTATTAATTTTACCAAAGCAAAATCAGATCTGTAACTTAACTGTTATGGGACAGGCTGTTAAAATATCCCAAAATGAATTATCTTGAGAACATGATAGCTTCTGGAAGGTTGACAGCACCCACTATGTAAACAGTCGTTGATTGGGTTCTAGTTTCGATTTTTATAAAATAAAAGAAAGCTTGTAAAATTGAAATTTTTGATTTTTAAGTTATTAAACATTCCATAAAATTCTTTATAAAAATAAGGATTTTAAAATTAGTGTTAAAATGAAAGTAAAAGATGTTAAAATAAAAGATATCAAAATAAAAATAAATAAAAGATGGGTGATTTTATATTCTGATGGATTAATTTATAAGAAATTAAAATTTTATTAATTATATAAAATAAACCATATTTTTCTGAAAAAACATCCAATCTATTTCATAGATTTATAAAGACTAATTATTATATTAAATTCTAGAAAAGAGTTGTTTGTGTAATTCTATTACTTAGCAACAAATAAAGGAAATTAGAAAGTTATGGGCATTATAAATATTATTCAAGAGTAGGAGAATGTGCTGAAAGAAAAGCAGCAATTTACCATTTAAAAGATTTATCTTAACATGTATCAACTGTCTTTAAAAATGTAATTTAAAAAAAAAAATTTAATATTCAAAGTAATAATACCACTTAACTAATGTAAATATTTACAAGGGAACTAACGCCCCATACAGGAGAGAAATAGTAATTTCGAGTTGAGGTATACTATCAAATTGATCTAGTTCATCAATGGTAATGTTTCAGCTTGTAAACCAAAGCTTGCAATCAAGTTCAGCCTTGTTTTTACTAACTGAATACATGTTAATTTTAATAAAATTGTTAATCAATTTATATTTTTCTGTTTTAAATGTGACAAAATTTTTTTAACTTATTGTCCATTCTTTAAACCAGTTTTTTTAAATCTGTTTTAGTTAATTATTCATCATATTTTTTATTTAGAACTTCTTCCTGAAAATACATCTAGAAATAGCATAGTGCGCACAATGACTGATATTTTGACAAGAATGTTCAATAACACTAGTCAGAACACTGAAAGATCTGAGGCATCTCACTCAGCATCAGCATCATCACACGGATCTTCATCTGAAGACATTGATGCTGCTTCAGATGAAGACAGAGGTCAGTTTTTCTTCTGTTCATATGTACCAGCTGTATAAAGGGTGTTTCAAAATTAATAAGAGCATCAAAGTAATGACAACTTTCCATAGAACCACATAGGGCCATAAACCATTATGGAACCATAAACCATGTAGAAAAGGTTAAAATCGCAAAAAATGCACTATCTCATAGTACAGATTGCCATTGCTTTGACAGACATCAAAAGCACACTTGGCATGTCAAGGAATCATTTGCAGGTCATGGAGAACAGGGAAAACCTTAATTATCGGGGAATTTATTTTTATCTTAAAAAGCAGGGAGAGGTTTTTTTTTTGCAAAAACCTGGAAAATTCCTAAGTAATAAATACCTGGAAAATAACCAGTTATAGATTTTTCAGTAACAATGATCAGTTTTTTTAAATTCAATTTAAATAAGTCTAACATCTATTACAATTATTTGTTATAAAAGCTGACATTTTAATAAAGTTTTTCCATGTTTCCATCCTCATTCTATGATATTTTTTTGCTTACAAAATCTAATATTTGACATTATAAATAAGAAAATCAAAGTTTTCCAATGAAAAATTGAATGGTATGGATAAAATATTATTTGGATTTACAATGAAATTTTCCACAAATACCTGGAAAAGTCAGAGAAATTTTTTCTGAAATTTAGTAGGAACCCTGTAATTTTTATGTCATTGTGCAATGACATCAACTAGCTCCGCTTCGAAAAACTTTTGTCAAATTAATCAATTAAGTCATTTTGTAGTTAAAATATTTAAATTATTTTTTGTCGTTGCTTATCTGTGTGACATTAAAACCTGCATAGGATTTTTGCAATTTTCACCCTCTCAGCAGGGTTTGTGACCCCATGTTCTGTGGTAAGTTTTCATGCTCTTGATACCTTTTACCACCCTGAAGTTGTCGAGTATTTTTTACTGTGTAACAAACAGTGTATGTTTTATCTTAAATATCCCTTGTTAATCTATATTCTTGTGCAAGAATTAAATTTTTTCTTATTCAATATGTTGCAACTACATTTCATAATTTTTGTTTATCTTTTATGTAATACAAACAAGTACAATTATTTGTATGTTTGTTTTTAATTCAGAATTCCAATTAATTATTTATCATGAGACTTTTTTAAGATTACTTAATATTTGGATAAAATAATGAATAAATTGAGATTAAACTCACTGTTTTTAGAGATCAAAAATGCTGCCATCAGAATATGTAATAAAATTTTTTAACCATATAGTCAAAAAATGGCCTTTTTTAACATATGATTCTTCATAATGTTCTTAAATGGGAACCTTGATTATTGGATTATCACTGATGAATTGATTAAAAGGAGCAAAGTAGTATTGATTAAAGCAAAGTATTAGAACAATTATTTTTTTTTTTTNTTTTTTTTTTTTTGAAATATAAATACTACTAGAAAAATTTAAAAAAGATTCTATTTGTTTGGATTTTTTTATTTTAATAAAATGAAATACATACACAATTTTTTACTCATGGTAATATTATTAGGAGAAAATAATATTTTTGAACATAAATTTTTATTTAAATATATGTCTACTGAAAGTAACAATGAAATTAAAATATAATAAAAGTATTCTTATATTAGATATATTGTTCATAAATTCAATGGTAGAAATTATTTTTCGAAAATCATTTTGTGATTGTTTACGTGAAATGATATAAATGTTATACAATGTTTTTGCTTTATTTAAATTTGTATGTTTTTATCATGTTAAACTAATACTCAATGTTGGAAAAAAACAGCTTATTATATAAAGTTGTAATAGGCTGGAAAGATTATAACTTTTGTAACAAGTAATTTTTTAATCCAAACTAAATATATATGTCATTTTTTCTTTTATAATATATTAAATTTTAACATAAAGCTTTTTTTTATTTATTTTTTTATTTTGTTTCAATTTTTTCAGTTTTCATAAATTAATGTGATTTTAATTTTAGCATTAGTAGAGCCATCTACCCAACAAGAACCTGCAGTATTTGAAAACCAACCAATGGATATCGATAGTTCAGAGCCAGTGAATCATCAGAATGAACCATCAGATCTTCAAACTGAGGATTTGGCACAAGGATCATCAATTCAAAATCCCAGTGAAGATAACCATGATAGTGTGCCATCAATTACTTATAGTGCCTTTGAAAGTGATAGACTTACTGAAAATGTTACACAAACTGTTGAAACAAATAATGAAAGAAAAACTTGTGATAAAAACCCCAGTGATTTGAAAATGGATATGGACAATACTGAAGAAAACCCGAATCATGAGGCTTTAACTTCTCTGCCAGGATGTTCTTCTGATTCTGCAGATAATTATGATGATATTAAAGCAAGTTTAGAATCTAGGAGAAAGGATTTGATCGAAAGGTGAGCTGATTTTTGCGACAAAAGCTTGTTTTTTTACATATGTGATGTGTTTTGTATATTCAAAGTAACTGAGGATCAGAATTATATCTAGCATTATGTAATAAGACTCTTGATGATAAAAAATTTTTGTATGTAACATCAATAGTGAACAAACAACTTTCACTAGTAAAATTATTGCTATTTTTTTAATTAAAAATTTTATTTTGCAAAGAAAGGAACCTTAATTAGGTAAATATCAAACTTAACTTAAATGGTTACGTTTTAAAGCAATAATTAATATTGTCTTTTGAAAATTTTATAGTGACATAAATTTTTTTCCATATTTTCGAGAAGTGGACATAGTTTTTTCTGCTCCAAACATAAGTTGTTCAGTGCAAAACTCCCTGTTTTGAGCACTTTCTGCTTTTAGGCAGGGTGATAATTATTGAGTTGCATAAAACTTACCTTAATAACTTATAACTTTCCTTAATAACTTATAACTTCAACCACCAAGTTGTAAAACTTGGTGGTTGAAGGTAAGGGATATTGGAATTTTTTTTGAGAAAATTGTTATTCATTTTTTGTTGAAATTGTCAAAATATTTATTAAATTTTGGGACATGTACATCTTTATTAAAACCATTTATGTGTTAACATTTGTGCAACACCATAGTCTTTGACAGCAAGCAAATCAAACATTTATAAACTATATCTATAGTTACTCTTAAAATTTGCAGTAGTTGTATTTTAAATTTTATTTTTTATCCCTAATAGCTCAATACTTGTCATTCTGGATATATTTTTTTATTATAGCTTATTTTATTTAAAACTGACATTGAACATCTAACCCAATTATGAGTTTACGGCTATCAATTTTCAACACTGTATCCTTGTAATTTTGAACCTGATCCAGAAGACTACAGAACTCCCAAATCAAGAATTAGGACAAGCTAGTCTTTGTAAAGGACTTTTTGATGGAACTAACTCACATTTGCATTACATGGAGAGGAAACCCCCATGGTTACCCCAATGACAAGGGGATTCCAACCCATGTCTACCACGGACGATATTTTACGTCAGCACTGTGGTCGATGTGAGCTGAGTGCAGAATTTCTATCGACCAGCCACGCAAGTTGGGTCACCTCATTGTGAGGCAAGCACACTATCCCCTGAGTCCCCTCGGCTGTTTTATTATCTATTATTCAAAATTATTACACTAATACTTTGCATATTTGTTATATTCTGTTACAGCTTTTCCTTGTTTTAAACTTATTTAATTTTTAAGGCATGGTTCTGAACCAATGGTGAACTTACATTACTCTGGTCAAAGTGTAAACAGTGGCCTTATTACAATGGATGTAGCCACCTCTAGTACACCAAATGAAAGGCAATGGTTAGAACAAACTGCATCAGAATTGCCTGAGCTTCCATCTTATGAAGAATCTTCTCATGTGAGTATAAAAAAATTTCTGAATTTTATATCAATTGCACAGTAGATAAAATGGGCTAATAAATATTTGTTGCTATTTCTGTTTTAAATATTTCTTTATTTTCTCTGATATTACTCAGAATATTTAACTTTGCAAAGTATATTTGTGTAGTCCTAACTTAAAACTAATGACTTTACTTCAACAACAAAAAACTTCTACCATATTCTTTGAAAAAGTAGTGCATAAGTTTTTCCCAGGTTTAAAATGTTTGGAAAATTAAAGAAATTTTTGTAACTATCCGCGTATTACCTGCATGAAATTATATCAATCCACATGCGTTGCTAGCTAAATTACACTATGTTTTTTATGAAATAATCTTTTTTAAATACCTTTTGTTTTACTTCAATGTTAGATAGCAATGTAGTAAACTGCAAGGTCAGAGTTAGTCTCGTAGTTCTACTAGTCCACTATTTGTAGTTTGTGGTTAAATTTCATAATTATTAATATAAGTTGTAGCATTTATTAGAATAAATACCACAATGAATACTACTAATTTTAATGTTATATTATACATCCCTGTGTAAACATAGCTATTCCTAATACTTTTTGAACTACCTATCTATTGTATACTAATGTCTGCTTCAATAAAAAGCAGAGTAAGGCTAGTGTTATTCATTTTTGCATATATTTTCCTTTTATGCCTTAGATAATAGTGAGCATTTTCTTTGAGTCATATCTCATACTATTACTGGCATTAAAGCAGTTTGTTTTAATGACCTGGTATATTGTACAATAAAGTGAAAAGTGCAGTTAATAAAATTTGAGCTGAGATGACTCAGAGGAAAGCGCAAACAACTCCCTATGAGAAGTCTCTGGTACTAATTCTGGCACTGACAGTTCAACTTGAAGACTATTCCTGGCTCGAACTGATCACATTGTTGATGTGAAATATATCCCAAATGAAAAACATAGCTTCGGCTAAAATTCCAAGGATATTTTAACCCAAAGTAGGTAGTAGGGGAGATGCCCGGTGGCTAAGTGATAACACTTAGCGCTCCCATGCCACAGGTCCTGGGTTCGATCCTCTTACCGAGCAAGGTTGACTCAGTCTTTCATCCCTTCAGTGGGTCGATAAATGAGTAACAAGCATGATTGGGAACGAAACACTGGGGGTTTTGCGTTCGGCTGACCACCTGACCGGAACGTCTGCACCCCAGAGCCGAAGGTCAAGAAAACTGAGATGGGCACAATAGGCCTTGGCCCTCTATGAGCTGTCGTGCCACTGAGTTTAGTTTAGTAAGTAGTAAGGGATTTTGACCAATTTTACTATTTAAATTAAAATATTTGTGATATTAAGTGTTATATTTTATTTTTTAAATTAAAGAAGTTTGAGATCACAGCTATGGAAGGTTTTCTTCTCCGTGTGAAGCAAATGCGGGTTAGTTTCAGAAAAAAATCCCCACAAAAACATGTTTGTCTAAATGCTTGATCCAGAAATCTCTTTATCTTCTGGGTGAGGTTTGAAATTGCAAGACTTTAAAGTTGAATATTGATCGCTGAAATCCAATATGAATTAACAGCTCAACGTCGTTATAAAATTAGTAATGTTATTTAATTCTCAATCATATCGATTTTTAGCCTCAAACATCAGTAGTTCATCATACGCCTGCAAATCTATTATCTGGTTCTGATAGTGAGACTGAAGCTGCAGTACAAACTATTCAACCAAACAGTAATCTACCCACAATTCAATCAGACACTAGCAGACCTTTGACTTTCACTGAACGAGCAGATGCCGCTGAAGATGAATTAGAATTAATGGTTGAAGTTGATTCTTGTTCTTGGGATAGTGATGAAGACAATGCTAGAGGCAGACAAGGATCACCCAGTCGCAGAAACAGAAGGTATGTATGTCATCTGATTTCATTCATTCATTGATGCATTAATGTGTGCTTCAATATCTTTTTCATTTTTATTCCTTTTTAGTTTATAATGTTTGACACCAGAGCTGGTTGGTTTAAACAGGTTATCCGCGCACCTGGAGAGTCATGAATTTCGGTATTGGACAAAATTTGTCATGAAATATCATGATTTTAAGTATTTTTTTTAAAAAAAATCATGGAAAGTCATAGATTTAAGTCGACAAAAAATCTAATTTTCAAAATGGATTTTACCCCTCCCCTCAATTGTTCGAATGTCTAAATATGTAACAAAATCCCCACTCACAGTCATGTTTTATTAAAATACAGTAGGGAACCGATTATCCGGAACGATCGGGACCATAGCTATTCCGGATAGCTGATTTTTCCGGTTTTCTAAATCGCTACAAAAAGCCGTTTTTTTTATGTAAACCCAACTAAAAAAAATAATAATAATATTTGGAAATAATCTTAAAAAGAAGAAAAACGATGAAATAATACAGTAATGATTATTTCTAAAATTATGGTATTGTAAACATCCTTCAAAAAACAAAGAAAAATCCTAAAATTTTATGAGGAAGAAAAAAAAATTTTTTTAAATGGCAGGAAAATGTATAGAATTTTGTTCCGGTTTTTTGGTTTTCTGATTTCTGGATAACGGGTTCTGTACTGTATAAAATATTTTAATCATGTTCTTTAAAAATTATGGTGTTCTTTTTAAAAATGAAAGGAAAGGGATCATTTCGAGAGTGAATTATCTTTTAAACATCTATGATTTCAGAATTTTTATTATTATTTTTATTTTTTTATTTTATCAATTTAAAATTATAGCTTAAGCAAGCCCGTCATTGACGAAATTTTTTATTCTGAAATGAGAACAGAAAAACAGGAGTATTTCTTTCCTTTCCGATGAACAAAAAAAGTATCTTTAGAATATAATTCTGCAGAAAAAAAGAAAAATATTAAATGCTTTTGTATTTTTTTCAGCTATTTTATTGCTTCAACTCTTTTTTTACTCTATTTCTTAAATTTTGAAATCTATAAATATGAAGATGCAGAGTATAACAGTTTTGGTTATACCTATCATTTCAAAGAATGTTATTATAATGCTTTTTTAAATTTATTGTTGTGTTTTTGTCGGAGAAAATAGTAACTTCAGGAAAAATTCTTGGAATTAGTCATGAAAAGTCATGAATTTGAAAATCTAAAATGTAGCAGATACCCTGTTTAAATCAAACAGTTTTTTAAAAAACTAACCTTAGTTTGTTTTTGTTTTTTTAAAAAAAAACCTTAATAGTAATTTAATTTTCTATTTTTTGTGTTATTGTAGTACTTGTTTAAATAAATTCATTAGAAAAAATAGTAAATTTTCCCTTGAAAATCTTTTCAATTTTAAGTTCAATAACTGATGTGTGTTACTTTACATAAACATTAATATGTAGTTTTTAATTGTTTATGTAACATTGTGCTTTTGCAAAGATACCTATAAAATAAATTACCTATGAGCAAATTTAAAATTAAGTCATAAAAATTGCTTAAAATGAAAGACCATCTACTACTTTGTGTTTGGATTGTTTTTAAAAATGGAAATTATGTCAACCTCTAAATTTAAAAAATTTAAAAAAAATTTCTTGTTAAATAATATTAAGCTTACAGCAAAAAAAAAATTATATTTTTAAGATTTTTTATACATGAATCTTAAGATGTAGTGATATTTTTGATATTATTTTTAAACTTTCTAATAACAAACAAAAATGAGTCTATATGAATTGGAGAGGTGATAGCAATGGTGATTTCTTGCAAACTGTTAATCTTTTTAAATTCCAACTTTCTACTTGTGTAGACAACTTTACTACTTGTCTACGACTTTGCTACCCCTTGTAGTAAAGTTGTTGGTCGATTTCAGTCCTGCTAACTCTCTGGCTTTAGACCTGTGTCAGGTGTATAAATGGGAGGACCTGTGTACAGTCATCATACAGCTGTCAAAACTTTCCTCTTTGTTAAAGCTTTTCTAATTTAAGTGTATTTAGTTTCTCATTTTAATTCCTTTTTAGAAACTTTTTTTTTTAACATTTTGAAATGTCAGCTAAGCTAAAAACAAAACAAAAAAAAATAAGAAATTTTAACAATGTTTCAATAAAGTTATGCATTAATGAAGTCTATATTAATAAATCTATGCTTAAATAACAAATTTTTGAGTAACATTTCGATTCAGAATGAGAGTTTTCATTCATTTGATGGGATCAATACAAAATTATGTAAAATCAGTCATAAAAAAATTAATAGGTACCTTCAGTGTGTTATTCAAGTTAAAGTTGGAAGCATTAACCAATCCTCACAGAGATTCGACCTGTGTGAAAGTATTTAATGAATGGCATAAACATCCAGACTTAATTCTGTTCTTGTCAAAACAAACTGGACTTGGAAGGCAAATCAGATTAACGTTTTTAAAAAGCGTTTTTAAAAAATTTTCAAAACAGCCTATCAATCTGTTTTTCTAAAAAATAGAGCAATTCATTATAATTTTTATTTTTTAGGGTAAATAAGTTACTTAGCGTTCTTAAAAGGTGCTTATTTTCGATTTTCGTTTCATACATGCTCTTAAAAGTCCTATTTTCAGTAGGTATTTTTAAAAAGTTCTTAAATGTTTCTTTTCCAAAATGAGATTTTTTCTTCACATTGTCTATGAAGAACTTATGTATGAACTTATGTATGACTTCAACAATAGGATGAAAACATTTTTATTAAAGTACATGAAGTTCTTTAAAATATTATTTGAGGGCTTTAAAGGTGCTTATTTTTGGGTGAAAAATTTGGCTATGCACACTGTTTTATAAATTTAAAGAATGTGTAAAGTTATTTATTTCTTTATTTTTATTATTTATTGTTTACTTATGCTATGTCTTGATTGCAAAGAGTGTCAGAGATTTTAAATTTCTGAGATTGGCAGATCTGCAATTTCCAGTTTTGTTAGGAATGGTAAGAAATTTCATTTACTTTTGTTACACGTTTCAAAATGTCTGAGCATTTGTCTTGAGCTAAATGAAGTAAAAACTACTATAATAAAAATTTTAATAAAACTCAATTTTGATTTTTTTTTAATTAATTTAATTGCAAAATTGCTTTTGTAGAACAAGATGTGATAGGCATTCTGACGACTTTATGTGTTCACTCAATGAAAAAGTCAAAGCTGCTAATGATGAACTTAAGAGAGAAGAAGTTACCCTGCAAAATGTTACTCAACCCAGAGTGAAGAGAAAGTATACAGGCCATAGAAATGCAAGAACCATGGTAAATATACTAATTTTCTTCATTTTCTAAATATGCCACCTGTAGAGCTCAAAATAAACAGTGGTTTATTGATCCGAGACTGCTAAAATCTGGCCTTATCTTCCATTAAATAAACATCTATATCACCAATTGCTGTCAATCAAATGGGCAAATCAAAAATCAAATGTTAGTTTCAGTCATCCTCTACATCATTTTACTTCTGGTGCCTAGTTGAGATCAACACTAGAAATTCTGTCTTCGTCTATTTTTATTTTATGACCGGTTAAGCGTAATTTTAATTTCTTCATCCTTGGGTTTTATTTTTATTTCTTGTTATATCATTTCATTGAATATGGCGTTATGCAGTAAAAGTATTCTTAATAATTATTTATTCAAATTTAATTTCTGTCTTAACGNGATCATTAGAACGAAAGTTATTCAGGGTGATATCTTTTTTTTTTTTTGCGGACTGTACATGGTTTTGGCGTGTTTAATTTTTTTTGAGAATTCATTCAGTTTATGAAGGAAAAAAACACGATCAACAGTTTTACATTACCAAATTTTTCCGATGAAGAATTCAAGGATCATACGCATTATTTTTAGAAAACGTAGTTACAAATCTTGTCTCATGAAGCTTTGTAGTTCCCAATTAATGATACCTTACTTTCATCCAATTTTAAAAATCATCAATTAACAATTAAATACCATAAAAAAAGATCATCCTCTCAATTTCTTTTATAAGAAAAATGTTAAGCAGCATATTCACTGTATCTTCGTTTTAAGATTTTTGAAATTCTACTCTTATTTTATTTGACTAAGAAAGTCTTGAACTTAGTTTAAAAAAAATTTTCATGAATATTGGTATGTGAGAATATTAACTACTTGAAGCAGGTTATTTATTTAATTTAACAGTAGTGTAAAAAATTTTATATATTGATCTCAAAATGTCATTATTTGTCCAGTGTTCCATTCATAAAATTATGCTGGATTTATCATTAAAAAAAATTTTCGGTTCTGAACAAAGTAACTCTGAAATTAAAAATACAGTTTGTCCGTGATTTAACAAAGCCCCATTATCTATTTATAAGTTTGATATCAGTTTTTGATTTATTAATCTTAAATAATGGTATTTGAAATAAAATAGCATATATTTGTTGATTAAATTGGTGTATATTATTTAATCTGTAATGTAAATTATCTTTTCTAGATCAAAGAATCAACATTTTGGGGTGATAATTTTATAATGAGTGGTTCTGACTGTGGTCACATATTTATTTGGGATAGATATACTGCAGAATTAATTATGCTAATGGAAGCCGATCACCATGTTGTAAACTGCTTACAACCTCACCCTTTCGACCCTAGTAAGTGTGACTACTGTTATATTTATTGGGAAAAAAAAAATTTTCTTAGATATTGATTACAATAGATCTTTTAGATGTCTTGAATTTGATAGTTTTATTTTAGAAATAAATTCTTTGTCATCCAGATCACTTCATGTCTAATAACAGAACGAAATGCTATAGAAATATTACATCAAGAGATTAATATAGTACTGCTTTTAGCAAAGTTTATCACAATTTATTGTTACATAAAAAAGTTAATTATTATTAATATGTAAATCCATTTAGGGTAAAATTAATTAAGGCGTTACAGGGAGGTAACCTGGTCAAGTTGCTAAAAATTGGAATCACATAATCTTAGAGTTAAGAAACTTATTGATATGATCTAAAATATAAAGTTATTGATATGAATTATTTATGTCTGGTGAGCCAAGACATTTTGTAGGTTTAAAGAACATAATGAATCAAGTTTTATACTGAAATTTTTTCCTCCATCTGTATGCATTCAGTTCATTATAAATTGCACACCTAATTTCACAAATGTAATAAACATAAATATATATTAAACTAAAAAGATTGTTATACTTTTAGAGCTTATTTTTAACCTTCTTTATTTATTCATAACATTCCATCAAGTTAATATTTAATTTTGTTGAAATATTTATATTCTAGTCCTTGCATCGAGTGGTATAGATAATGATATTAAACTATGGGCACCCACTAGAGAAGAACCTTTCTTTGATGTGGACAAAGCTAATGAGGTATTTGAAATATTTTGTTTGTACATTTATTTCTTAAAACATAAATGTAAAATATCTAGTATATTTATATACCAGTAAACGTGTATTTATAAGTGTATTATTAAGGTATATATAAACAAGAAACTGAATAATTAATCTGTACATCACACAAAAAAAAACGAATCACATTTAATACATTTTAATTTATTGAATTTTCTCGTATTAGTTTTGAATCTTAGTTCTGAGGTGTGTCCTCAAATATTGTAATTAGTCAGTGCTGACAATATTTTAGGTTACAAAATCAGACTCAAAATCACTCTTTCTCTAAATGAAACAAACCTTTTTTTCTATGAATTATAATTCCTGACCCCCAAATTACAGTTTCAATAGTTTAGTCAAGAGAGCAGTCAAAAGTTTAGACCCTGTAATGTTAATTTTATTATTTGCATATATCACCATATCTCAAGAACTTTTGAAGAGAAATAAAATAAGTTTGCACACAACTATAAAATTCTGACATAACTATGATCATGTCAGAACTATGAACTTTTAAAATTTTTAATTAAATTCCTCAAGAACTATTTGTCTGATTTTTTTCAAATTTTGTATTTTGCCGTATAAAATTACATTCTTTAAAATTATGTACAAATTTGTATGTCTTTCAATTCAAAAATTTTTCAACTATTATTAAATAAAATAAATAATTGTTAAAATTTATTTTTTAAATTGAATTATCATTGGATAAAGATGGATAAAGAAATTTTATATTTGTGTGCAAAAGTTTTCAAGTTGCTTAAAGGTTCTTGAGATATGGCTAAGTACATAACAAATAAAATTAGCATTAAGTGGTTCAAACTATTAGGTTCATATTTTCCGGATTGTGGGTAGCCACTATATTTTGGGGTACAAAGAAGTATATTTATGTTACTTAAAGTATAGTATATTTATGTTACTTAAAGTATCGTCTGCACCAACTAATTAGAATATGTTAGGTCATTATCTTGAACCATTAAGATTGAGTTGCAATATGTGAAAATTGAATCATTATGTCATAAATTATTCAGGGTAATTTTTTTTTTTGTCGGTTCCAATTAGAATATACTAAATAAATCGTGCTAACTATTAAGTTATAAAATCGTGTAACTTTTTCGTATTAAATGTTTGTTTGTTTTTCAACAGATTTCTAATTCTCATAGTACTGTAGACATTTTTAAAAGTTAATTCAAAAGAACAGTTTAAAACATAAGCTCTTTTATGTTTTTAATTTAGTTTTGTTTTTAATTTTCAATTTAGATTATCAAACGAAATGAAGTTATGCTAGAAGAGACAAAAGATACCATTACTGTTCCAGCATCTTTCATGTTTCGTATGTTTACATCATTAAGCAATTTTAGAACTGGTAAGAAATTAATGTTTAGATTTGAAATTTACAAAAATATTTTATTTTGGTTTGAGTTGTAATCTTTTGTTATATGTCTTTTCCTTATATTATTACTTACTGTCTTCTACTTAAAAAAGTTTTTCGTTTCGGCTCGAATTTACTGTTTCAACTTAACTATAAATTTTTATTCAGAATTCTGTTTCGAATTCACCTGTACATTTTCATTCAAAAGTCATATTTTCTATTGAAAATAGCAATATGATAATGATACTTATCCTTATGATCTAATTCAGATCAAATTCATGAGTTCATTGCTGTTCATAGAAATATTCCTCTACCAATTTGTAAAATTGTTAATATTTTTGAAAAATTAGTTTTTGAATCTTCATGCTCCATAAACAATTTTGAGATTTAAAAGAATGCTTAATTTCTATGCTATATAAAAATATTGATTACTATCTAGAAAAAAAAATTATTTCTGTTTAACCTTGTTTATTTAAACTTTTTACTTTAAATTGAATTAAATTAATCCTGGCTTTCTAAATAAAAAAAAAACATTTATTTACATTTTTAATTTTAAAATAAAAAGTTCTTTATTATCCTTAAAATCTGTTTTTGTAAATATTAATAAAAAATTACACACCATTTGTTTTTTTTATTAGATATGCTTAGGCCATATCCAGTTTGTACAATTGTTGGCACACTTGAAAATACATATAAATCTTTCCTTATAAGTACAGTTGGAAACCGATTATCTGGAACGATCAGGACCATCGCTATTCCGGATAACTGATTTTTCCGATTTTCTGAATCGCTACAAAAAGCCGTTTTTTTATTGTTAAACCCAACTAAAAAAAAATAATAATAATATTAAAAAGAAGAAAAAATGATGAAGTAATACACTAATGATTATTTCCAAAATGATGGTAAGGTAAAAACATCTTTAAAAAAAGAAAGAAAAATCCTAAAATCTTATGAGGGGAAAAAACATAAAAATGGCCGAAAAATTTATCTAATTTCGTTTCGGTTTTCTAATTTCCGGATAACGGGTTCTGTACTGTAATAAAAATTTTGTGATGATAATGATAAAGCACCAAATGTTTGTTTGTTTTTTTGTCAAGAGATGGAGCCACTAATGTATTTTTATGTCTTTTAACTCTCCTTTTCTCATTGGCTGATTCTGTTTTAATTATTAACTGCTTATATTGTATTATTTAAATAGGTATTAAATGTATTGCCTCTGACAGCATCTTGTTTAAATATTATTTCTCTTTATTGGTAACTGCTCCAAATATTATTACATAAAGCGTAATGCAATATTGAAGTCAACTTACCTATATTAATCTGATATTTAATGAGTGTTATCTGTTTTCCTAGAGCGAACTAAGCAATATTTCTCTTGATTGGTTGCTGCTCAATATACTATAATGTAAACCCTGTTTCAATACTGAAGTCAATAGGATAATTAGTTAGTATGATCTACTTTTCTAGGGCGAGCTAATTATTTCATTTTATTGGTAACTGCAGTGGCGTTTGCAAGGGAGGGGTTTAGGGGTTTGAACACCCCCCTTGAGCTCAGACAAAATGGCAAAAATAAAAATTTTAGTAGAAATTTTGCGGTATTATTTTTTAAGACTATATATTTTTATTTGCCTTATGCCTACCTTTTTTTCTCACGGTATTTCTCAGAATACTGAAAAAAACATTTGCTATAATAGGGTTGTACTTTTGAAACTAAATTCAACTAATACTGTTATGGACTGGTTCCTTTCTGTTCTGCCAGTCGTGATAGTTTTCGAGACTGGCTGTCACTCGCGAGGTCTTTACGCGATGATTCTGGAATCTTAGACGTTCTGTCATCTTTGAGGCAATTCGAGAATTTTGGAAATGCGGTGAAAAATTATATAAAAGGGGGAACGGAGTACAATGTAAGTTTTTCTGTTATACAGAAATGTGATACCGTTGAAGAAAACGTTTCTAGCATAATAAAATCTGATGAATGTGAAAGTGGCCCTCAAAGTGTTACTTCTCACCCATATGACATTGGACTTTTTTCAGAAGATATTACATTAAAGAAGNACAATTTTGAGATTTAAAAGAATGTTTAATTTATATGCTATATAGAAATATTGATTACTATCTAGAAAAATTTTTTGTTTCTATTTAACCTTGTTTATTTAAACTTTTTACTTTAAATTGAATTAAATTAATCCTGGCTTTCTAAATAAAATAAAAAAGCATTTATCTATATTCTTAATTTTAAAATAAAAGTTCTTTACTATCGTTAAAATCTGTGTTTGTAAATATTAATAAAAAATTACACACCATTTGTTTGTTTTTTTTAACTAGATATGCTTAGGCCATATCCAGTTTGTACAATTGTTGGCACACTTGAAAGTCCAGATAAAAACTTCCTTATAAGTAATAAAAATTTTGTGATGATAATGATAAATCACCAAATGTTTGTTTTTTCTTGTTCTGTTTCATCAGTTTTTTTTTTTTTTTNATGTTTTTTTTTTTTTTTGTCAAGAGATGGAGCCACTAATGAATTTTTATGTATTTTAACTCTCCTTTTCTCATTGGCTGATTCTGTTTTAATTATTAACTGCTTATATTGCATTATTAAAATAGGTATTAAATGTATTGCCTCTGACAGCATCTTGTTTAAATTAAATATTATTTATCTTTATTGGTAACTGCTCTGAATATTAGTATTACATAAAGCGCAATGCAATATTGAAGTCAACTTACCTATATCAATCTGATATTTAATGAGTGTTATCTGTTTTCTAGAGCGAACTAAGCAATATTTCTCTTGATTGGTTACTGCTCAATGTACTATAATGTAAAAGCTGATTCAATACTGAAGTCAAATTGGCCGTATCAATAGGATAATTAGTCATTATGATCTACTTCTCTAGGGCGAGCTAATTATTTCATTTTATTGGTAACTGCATAGAATATTAAAGCGTAAAATCTGTTTCAATGTTGAAATCAAGTCCCCTATATCAAGTCCCCAATATTTAATGAGTATTATCTACTTCCCTAGGGCGAGCATATAGATGGAGTCGTGCAGCAAGAGAAATGCGAGCTGCTCGGGAGAGAGAAAACCAAGAAGCTGGCAGACGATGATGGACTTTGCCTTATTTTTGAATATTTTAAATCTGCATTTTGCTGTTTGTTTAAAATCTATGCATTTTTGTTTAAGACATTTAGAACTAAGTTTTCATAGGGGTGATTGCTTTGCAAGTGATAAAATCTTGATTTTCAATCATGTAGCTGAAAATAAGTCTACAGCAGTGTAATATTTTGAAAAAAGTTCCTCACAATCATTTTACCCATAAATACAAATTTATTTGCTATTGGTGCATTTCAAAATACCTTTTTTTTTCCTTATAAAATTATTTTTTGGATTCATAATTTTTCCCTAATTTTATTTTATTTTTAAAACATTTACCAATGTTTTGCAATATTTCTGAGAATGTTTATAAATAACCTCACTGTTGTAAATTTTTTATCATACACTTTTGAAAATTTTGTTTTTTCATTTGAAATATAGTCTTTCATATTTATATCAATAATTTTATGTGGGGTATAATCTTATGTAATTAAAACTATGCAATCCATATTTTCCAAAATAATTTGAAGATTTTTCGAATGCTTTATTTTCTGATCGGGGATATAATTTTCTTGTTTAAAGTTTAAATAAATTTCTATAAATCATTCTTAACTTATTCTGCACACAAAATATTCTAATGAATTGTTTTCCAAACACATTATTTTAGTTTGTTTTTATTTCATATGTGTTTCCTCTTTTACTTCCTATTTGCAATGTCATACTTAGTAGTAATAGGACAATATTAAATTTATTTCTAAATTATATGGATAAATAATTATTTCCAAGTATTATATCTAATCCTTTGCACGTTAAACCTCTACCCTGTTTGAAGTAAAATATTGTTTTCCTGCATACCAAATCGTTTTTATCTATGTCATTCACTACTCAAGAGGTTTGCCTTCTTTAAATCAACAGGGGAATTTCGTCCCAATGTTCACAAGTAATCTCTGTTTTTTTTTTTGTTTTTTTTTTTTTTTTTTTGTTTTATGCCTGTTAGGCAGTGGANTTTTTTTTTTTTTTTTTTGTTGAGCTTACTATTGATCAGCTTACCTGAAGTATGTGTTGTAGTTTATGTTTGGTCCAGTATAATTAATTCTGGCTTTTGAACCATTATATCTGATTTCTATATTTAAGCATGTAAAAGAAAGCTTTCCATTTAAAAAGCTGTACAAATTTGACTGAAAAAATTGGATAATTGCAGCAATCTATATTTATCTATTATAGATGATTATTCCAATGTATGCAATAAAAAATTTCTTGTAACCTTAAGCAATTATAAAAACTTTTTAAGTCCATCTTTCTACATCTGAAAAAGTATTACAAAGTCCATTACTCTGGAAAATCATATGGATTATTACAATTCATAAAATATTTATGAATTGTAATATTTTAAAGTATTTCCTTATGGTGTATCCTCCTGAATACCATACTCAGGGCCCAGTAAATTAGCCAAATATCAAAAGTATTCGCCAATATTTGAAAGTATTCGCCAAATGCAGGTCTTAACAATTTTTAGATATATTTTTCCTCCCAGTGGAAAAAATCATTCACCAAAACACAATTTTATTCGCCAAAATTACGATTTTATCGCATTTGGTGAGGTGGTGGTGCCTTATCTTGGGGCCCTGGTACTCATGGGTAGGAGAGAGGCAATTGTCCCAGGACTGCTGAAGGTCCAACAAAAATTTCTCCCAAAAAATATAGTGTTTATTAATTAGTTTTTTTTTAAAGAAGTTTGCAGATAAATTCTTTATACCTCTATAAAAACTACAATTTTGTGTAAAGGATCTACAAAATATGAAAACAAGGCTTTTTGCTCTTTGAGGAAGGGGCCCATAAAACGTTTGTTCAGTCTTCGTCTCCTCCAAGATGATATCTACTGTACTGAATCACCTTGTATTCGAAGAGACTTGAGAAAACATAATGATAAGCTTCATTTTTAGGGAGAAAATTTTTGATTTAAAACAATGATTTCCATGAAAGCAAGAAGTGTTTCATATATATAGTGATGTGATCTACTAGGAGTACTGGAAATTTGTGAAGTATTTATGTGGAAATAGATTAAGAATTTATTTGATGTAGAAATGGAATCTTTGGAAAAACTGAACTTTTAGTTAACCCTAAACTTCTATAATGCATGTTATAGAAGTGTTCTATAATGCAATCTATGAACGCAGTTAGTTATGTTATATCTACCAAATTCTAACGGTAAGAGCATTTTATGCACTCCATTTACTTCAGATTTACTGAAAGCAGTGTCTCTACATTAGCAGCTCAAAAGAATATCTCTAAATTTGAACCAGTTCTGGATCAAAACACCCTTACTTTGGATATGGTCACATGATATGCTGTGCCAATCATCATTTTTCACCATAGAGCTGGTTTTGTCTAAAAAACAGTTCATTAAAAAGTAGCGTTGAAAAGCTGGCTTTTATTCCCAAAATCAGGTTTATTAATTGTGCATTTGAGGAGAAGTACAAGCAAGCAATGTCTGTAAATTACTTAAGTCATTGGTACAGTGCCTGAAAATAATTGTTTACTCACAAGCGCAGTATTCATTGATACAGTAATTTAATTTGTGTCTAGATATGTTTGAATAATATGTTTAACCAGTTATTAAAAGTAAAGTTCTGTGTATTACTGTATAAAAAAAAGTGTTCAAGACGTCGAAATTTTAGCATAAGAAAATAATTGTTATTGCTCATCAAGCTTTATTCAATTCATTATTGTTTTGCCTGTATTTTGTTTTTAAAAAATTTTGTGTGTTTCTTATTTCAGTTATAAATTATTAACATTGTCAAATCCTTATCAACCTGTCAAATTATTATTCAAAAAAATCTAATTAATTTCATTTTTAAAATTATATTTAAGTTTTGAAGTTAATATCCTTGAAGTAGAAATATGTTTTAAATGTTGTAATTAAATATTGTATTAAATCTTATTGTTTAATATTATTATTAAATGCTAAAAGTGTTTTAATTTTATAATGCATAACTTAAATTAATTTAATACAATTCGATAAAAAAAATTCTTTAGCTGCTGTGTTTAATGCATTCAATAGCAATCACCCCTAACTAGTGAGATGAAAAAAATGTGGCTTGCTTGTTGAAATGTTTTATTTATTTGAATTGTTTGTTTTTCATATGTGGAAGAATTGTTTTGTTTACATATTCTGTTGGAATTTTTTCAAACCCTTATTTTATTTAAAATATTATTGAAAATTCTTATTTAAAATGTCAAATATATTTGTAATTTCTGTTAATATAATTAGTTATTGCATTAACTGAATCTTTTGAATGATATTGAGATAGATGTTTCCTTGTTTTTGATAAATTTGTTACACTGCAATTGAAGTATTATTTCCAACTATTTATAAAATTAAAATCATTCACAACTCTCTTATCCTGAGAATATTTATTCTGTTGAAATTTTATTTATTGTAGGTTTAGAGCTTCAACTTTTTCTTTCACTAACATTATGTAGCTTGAAAGGTTATGGGCAATGTTGTGTGAAAGGTTGTAAATAAATAGTTAAGATACTTATGTTGTTGTCACATTATTTTGTACTATCTTCAAACAAATTAATTTCTATTTTATGTGTACAGGGTGCCTAAAAATCTAAGAAATAAAATTTTAGGGTATGTAGGAGGTGTTAATGTTACAGTGCACCTACCAACACTAAGCTCCTATGATTCATAGAGCTTGTTTTCTACCTGAGCAGAGCTCTCAAGTGTTAGTGTATCAATAGCTTAAATCTATTAATACAGGGTATGTTAATACAAGACTCGTCTGATCTGCCACTTCATTCGAACTATATGACTTTCAGTGTTTCACAAGTGTGCATTCTCGTTTGACGGTATGTTAATTCAAATTAGAAGCGGACGACTCTGAAAACAACAGCTTTTTTTTTAAAAAGAAAAAAAAGACAACAATTACTCACAACTAAAAAATTCCCACTTTCACTATCTCACTAAAATTAGTATTATATGCAGGCATAGCAGTTCACCACTGTCATCATAAGTTTTTGCCCTTTGAGACAGAATTTTTATTAAACATATTTTTCTTACTTTTTTTTATTAAGGTCGAAATAAATTAAAATTATTATATTTAGCTTTTTAATAATTTATGGTTATAAAATTCAATATGAAACACTGGTTTCTTTATCTGGGTTAAAGGTAAAATCTTCCTAACACAGCTCACTTCCAAACATTAATATTTTGAATTCTCTGTTATCTAAAACTAAGAGAAGAGAAACAGTTATTCATCACTGAAATTTCTGAATCAATTTTTGAATATGAATGTTTAAAAAAATTCAAACTACATTTTTTGGGATTTTATATTTCAGTTAAAATATAACTCCTGTAATCTAACGTATTTTTTTAGTAACTATTAATCAGTTTCTTATAATTGAAAAATACCTAAATATATTTTTATTTGTAGTTCGATCGTCAGGAAAAACATATATAAAAGGGACACCGGTGTCCCGTCTACGTCAAAGGGTTGAAGAAGCAATCGACCAACAAATTCAGTGAGAGTATAAAAGATATAAATTGGATGAAATTTTACCATAGAAAATGGAGTAGCTGAATGGGTGAAAATCGCAAAAAAATTCATAAAGGTTTCGAGGTTAAGTTTGAAAACAAGTACAAAAAGATGTTACGAACTTGCTAACTGTTAAAAGGTTTATTTGATTAATTGTTACAAGAGGTTGCCAACTGACATAATGAGTCTACAGTGACAAAAACGAATCTCGAGATTCGTTTATACCAGATATGCTTTTATACGAGTCGATTTTTTTACTGGAATATGCCAGATACGCTTTTAATGTCAGCAGGAGAGATGACAATTCGCTCTATGAGATCATCTAGATTGAGACCTGGGGACTGTGAAAACCATACAGCACGTCACGCAACTCCAATTTGCTTCTTTGGGTGTATTACATCAAAATTGATTATGCATCTGGAGGGGCATAATGTGCAGAAGTAACTTCGTGAAAGCAAATTACATACAATGTGTAAAATATCGCTAATTAAGTTTCTGTTTTTTTTTTGTTTTTTTTTATGTTCTCCTCAGCGATCGAAGATGCGGCAACTGCTTACAATGCTCAGTTTCTGAGCTAACATGATTTTCAGCCTCTCAACGTGATTTGCGACCCTATGTTCTTTGGTAGAGATTAGAATTTTCTAATATAATTTCAAAATGTTTTCTATTCATGGACTTTAGTTCATGGAAAATGCTTCTTTTTTTTTCTATTTTGCATAATAGTCACATCAACCCAGAGATTCGAATTATATTCATTAACTGGACGAATTATTCCTATACATACAAAAAACTTTCGATCTTGCCGGGTGAGTGAACACCGTGTTCATTTGACTAATGAACAAGACTCCGAAGCCATTCTCGAGTCTAAAACCAACCAGGTTTCTAAACTGACATTAGGAGAAACAGGAGGACCAAAACAGTCATTGAATTTCCTACATCATTTAGCTACTTCAATAAATTATTTGTGGCAACACATTTTGCCGTCTCAAGTTTCAGAATCTGCTAAGTGAAGTGCAGAAATTAAATAATTTAGTAATTATTTTGCTATAATTTATAAAGAAATTATTAAAAGCTCGAAGTTAAAAAAAAAATATAAAGGTAGGAAAGCATATTGCATGTTTTAAATTTCATATCAAATAATTAATCATGAAAGCAAGCATGCTTTTTAAAATGTGCTATGAACATTGAATTGAGACTGTATTTATCAGCGAAAATAATGTTTATTTAAAAAAATTTGCTAAAAGTGTTAATTTTTTTGATAAAAAGAGTGGAAAATTACTGCAATTGTTTTTGTCTTGTTAAATTCCTCAATTCAAAACTGGTTAATATCCTAATGTATTAAAATTTTTGAATAGCATATTTTACAAAATTAAACAGAGTGCATACAATTTTTAGATGGTTAAGTCGAAATGTTTTTGTTATAAGTCTTACCTCAGCAGTCAAATTTTATAATGCATTTAATATTTTATTAAAAGGTGAATCAAATTTTCCTAATCATGCAGCAGTTAATTTTGTCACATATGTTTGACAGTTTCCTACAACTATTCAGTCCTTAGATAAAATTGTGATGTCGTTTTTTACTTTCAAATTTCTTTTTTATGTTTTAGCATGGTAATGAGCTATTTTAAGTTGGCAAAATAAATTTAAAAAGAAATATTTTATAACAATGAACTTATTTGCATGTTTTAAGAAGCATAACTATTATTGCAAACATAACTTATTTATTACTTTTTAATTTGTGGTTTCTTATATGCTTGGTTATTGGTTATTGCTTAATAAAAGCTTTAATATTGCTTAAATAAAGTTTGAAATTGATTTATTACATGTTCTTAGCTGTTTTCGAACAAACTTTACTTCAGCTAACCTAACTATAATTTTACACAGTTTGTTAAAATTGCAAAGGAAGTTTATAAACGGGTAATTTTTTGTTAAGAAATATTTCTTAAATTTAAATTAAAACTTTACTTTAAGGAAATAATTCCCAGTGTATAGCAATTTAGATAAATGTAATTTTTTTTTTTTNCGTCTCTACTTTATAAAATATATATATATATATGTATACATAAAAAAGAAACATTAAATAACATTCAGATTGCGTAAAAAGCTACTGAAATTTGCTAATATTGTATTGTATAACCAAGTTTAGGCTAGTAGTAAAGTAATAGTTAGCTAGTAGTAATACTGAAAGTATGTTTTGTTTCTTAGTAATTTATTTGGCATTATGGGTCCTGGGTTCAATCCTCGAACCAGGCATATTTGACTTAGTCTTTCATCCCTTCAGTGGATTGATAAAATTAGTACCAAGCATGCTTGGGGACTAAACACTGGGGGTTTGCATTCGACTAACCACCGAACCGGAACATCTGCTCCTGCACCCCATAGCTGTATGTCAAGAAAACTGCGATAGGCACAGTAGACCTTGACCCTCTATGGGCTGTTGTGCCACTGAGTTTAGTTAAGTAATTTATTTATGCTTTATTTTCTAGGTTCTGCTATGAATACAGTTGAAAATACTATGGAAGGCTGTAATAAGAGTTCTGATGCTTCAGTGAATACAGCAAACACTCAGTCTAATTTAAACGAATGTCCAGTCATTGAAGACGATTTGACCGATGATTATAATGACATTGATCTGAGTGACATAATACCATCTGCTTTAGATCCAACACTCACAATGGATAATTCTGTTTCACTTGTCAGTGGTAATGATTCGTATAAAGAGATAATTAATGTCTGTAGTAGTACTGCGCAAGTCCTTAAAAAGACTATATCTGATGTTTTAAATTCAAGAGGAAATGTTGTCATCACAGAAGTGGATGATTCAAGTGAGCTAGAAGCTACACTGAATCAAAAAATAGCTGATTTCAATAATACCGTAGATGGTTGCTTGAAAAATCAAAATCAACTATCAGCTTCAAACAATGCCGATAACAATTCTGATTTACCAGCTAATGTATTAAAAGACACAGAGGAAAATCGTTGTGATATCTGTTTACCAGAAAGTCTTCAAGGTTCCTGTGAAGAAATATGTAATTCTGATGCTTCGTCTGAAAATTCTTATAACAATAATGTCGACACAGAACAGGATACAAATGCTGGTACATCAGAAACTAAATCGTTTCTCGATGCTCAAAATTCTAGTCAAGTTCAAAAAGGAAAGGTAGGATAAAAAAATTTTAAACTTAATTCAATAGAATATAAATTGTTAAGATGTATAATCTGTAGTGCTGGAGATAAATGTGCCCTTTGAAAAGAGACCTTTTCTTTATTTTAAAGTATGATTTTGCATTATGGAGATGATTTCTGTATCTATACTTGCATGAAAATAATTGGCATTAACCAGGCAGTGGCAGACTAGAAACTAAAGTTAAAAAAAATTATTAGAAAGGTAAATTCAAAAGATAAAACTTGCAGCTACCCACATGAAATAGAACTCTTCCCTCCGAATGAACCTAAGGTAGCGTTGGCTAGTCGAAACAAATTTTGCTCTTAGCTCGCACGGACCACTGTGCTGACATAAAATATCCTTAGTGTTAGGCAAAATCACGTTTTAGAATTTCTTTGCCGTTGGGCTAACTGTGAAGATTTCCTCTTCATGCAATGTAAATTCTGGGTTAGTCTATTTAAAAGGCTAGCCTGTCCTAATGCTTGATCCAGAAGTTCCCTTGTCTTCAGGACTGGGTTAAAAAAAACAAGGCTAGAGTTGAACATTGATAGTGGTAAACTCATAATTGGGTCAGCTGCTCAATGCCGCTTATATTTGTCTTTATAAAAAAAAAATTTATTTCTTAAAAAAATTTTGAAGTACAAAAAGTTTTGGGGCTTTGGTGATTTTAATTAGCCACAGGACAGTTACCAATTTAGAAATGTTCTTAAGTTGTGTAAGAAAATTTAATAATAAAAAAAAGAGTTAATTAGGTGTATTGTGATGAAGAGGTTATGCTATGGACAGGTGTAGTTCTGTGGGTAATATATTTCCTTGCTGTTCCAAATATATTTGTCATGGAATACAGAATTTATCTTTCAAAAATCTATATCTTTAATCATTTTTTTTCCTTCACAGATAACAGGGTAAATTCAAAAGAAATACTTAAATGACCTTCTGATGAAAAAACAGCATAAATTCGAATAAAAAATAAATATGTATGAATAGTGTTTATATATTGTTATAACTGATTTTTATTTACAAAGTTAAACTATCATATAAATTTAACTTGGATATTTTCTATAATTGCATTATAGTCAATATTTTCACACTTTGCTGATGATTCTACATTTAAGGTCAAAGTGGTATCAAAATAGAAGCTTTGATATTTATGTTTATGTTAAAATTTTAGGGGAGATTTCCGTATTCATGATCAGTGGCAGAATAATTGCCAAGACTACGCAACTTCTGGGCAGCTCCAACCGAGAAACTAAAAAAAATCACTGATAAGGACCAACTCGTAGTCCTCCCCGATCAAACCTCTATATGTTTTTTTAAATTTTTCCCATTTAAAATCAATTTGGCGATTGTAGTTGGCTTGGCAGATCAGACTACGGAAATATCCCTATATTTTACCATTATTGCAAAGAAATCACTTTTTACTAAAAAAATAAAAGACCTGGTAATCATTTAATCAATTTTTTAAGTGCTAGCGATTTTTTTTTTTTGAAATTCTGCTTTAAAATAACCTTTTAATATAATTAGAAAGTGTATTTTATTTGAACAGAACAAAAGTTGACAGTTATCGAATTGTTTTTTATATCCAAAGCTTACTTTTCAAAAGATCAATTTTTTTTTTAAAATTAATAGAGGTGTGTGCACAAAGTATTAATTATGATTTTATTATTGCAGTTTTTATTTTGAGTTTTTAAACTATAATAATAACATGTAGTGCCATTTTACATAAGTCAAAATATTTATTTTTGTTGTAGCCTGCTACTAAAGAAAATGAGTCAAAAACTGTTGTTTCTTCTGAAGACAGCAAAATTGCTAAAAAATCTAAAAGTGTAATTTCCAAAAAGAAGGGGGAGAAGACAGTTGGTGAGATTTTTTACAATACATTTTATAATTTCATTGTCTGTTTTGAATTTTTACTGCCTATTATTTCTATATATTTCTAATTAAAGCTTGATGATCTATGCCAGGGGTGGCCAAGCTCCTTAATAGTCGAGCCATTTTTCAAAATTTGAAATTTTTCGCTGCAATTAAATACGTATTTAAAAGGTATGCAAAAAAGTTATTAAAATTTTTTTTCTTACATAAATTATATTTATTGAAAACATATGAAAAAAAGTCAAAGTACGAAATATGTGTATTGAATTTAAATATTAAAAATTAAACACATTTATTTTACTTCTCTTGATAATTCTTTAGAATTTGGTGAATAATTGGTGACAGCACTTCTCAGTAATTTTTTGAGATGCTGGTTAGTTTATACTGATCGGTCTTTGGATTTCACGAATTTTAAAGTGGAATAAAATGATTCACATAAGTATGTTGTTCCAAATATTGAAATAATTCGACAGACAGCCTTTTTTAATTCAGGTTATTTCGATTCTGGTACAAATTTCCAAAACTCAGCCATCAATGTCGACTTATATTTTAATTGTAGAGCTTGATCTTTTTGCATCTCTATTAATTCTAATTCTCCAGATGCTTTTTGTGTCATAATTATGTTGGAAATGGAAAACTCACCTTGAATTGAGCAACGTTGCACTTAGTCTTTCGTATTTGTTCTCCGTAATTTAAAAGACATTTTGAAACACTTACTGAATGATAATAATTTTTTAAAATATAATAGCACAGAAATGAAAAAGGAACTCGGGTACATTTATCAAGAGCCACAAAGCATGTGGCTCGCGAGCCGCATGTTGGCCACCCCTGATCTATGCTGTAAATTATCACTATTATGTAAAAATGATTTTTACCTAAACTCATTGATGTAATGAAAGATATAAGCCTATTATTGTCCTTTTGTGATATTTGTGTTTATTGATGTTGAAGCAGATATTACCCCAATGTTTGTTAATTTAATTTTGGATTTTACATCCAAAACATCAGAGATATAAAAAATTTATTGCAGACATTTGGATGAAAACAAGAATCTATGTTAAATTTTAGAACAATTGAGTTCTCTTAAAATGATGGTTCTCTGTTTGCTCAAGAATTTTTTTAAAATTATATTTTGTCTTAGTTTGCTTTATTTGATATAACTTAGTTATTTAAAATAATGATTTAACATAACTTAGTGAACCAGCCAATCGATTTCTTGCAATATGATTATCAATAACTAATCAACAGGAATTCAATTTAAATTTTTATAAATTAAAATTTTAGTTATATTGTTAAAAAAATACCACTTAGTTTAATTTTTAAAAAAATTAAATAAATCTCAGTGATTAGTTGTCTTTGTTTTTTAACCTATATATTATGTAAATGTACACAGCTCATAAAAAGTACTAATATGTTGCTAAACTGTTAAAAGAGTTTTATCATTGGTTTAACATTGATTAGTGTGCCTACTCATTATATATCTAGAAATAATTTATAATACATGTTTAGAAATAATGTTATGTTGTTATTTAGTCTCGCATATAAAAACAGCTGCTAATTTTTAAAGTATTTTTAAAATCTTCAAATTATATAGTTAAATTATTTAAGTATCTTTTGAATTTTTACATCTTTTTTTTCTTCAATTTGCAATAAATTTCAAGCAAACATATTTTATTCTCTATAAATTCATGATTGACCAGTACCAGTATCTACAAGTAAACGTCCACAGCTAATAATGGTTAAGCATTGTTGACATATTATTAAAGTTAAACAAATTTATTTTTCATTTAAATGGTTGACTGGTAGACCTAATGTGTAATCTTTGGCTATCCCTGGCTATAAAAAAATTTCACTATTGCAAACTTTGACCTGCATTTCTTTAATTTATAGTATGAGACATAGCACAGAATGTAGAAATAGCCTTATAAGATTTTAAAAAATAATTGCAGTTTTTAGTATTATATTACTTTATTTATTCCTTTAGGAATATCCAGCATATAGTCACTTACAATCCCAGAAAATACAAAATTTCCTCCATGCTAACTCTTACCTGTATCACTTTACAGATTATTATACTCTTCAAAATCTAAAATGAATAAATAATCTCATAAATTTTTAAAAGCTGACAGTTTCGAGCATTGACGTTAATATTACTATTTCAATGAGAATTGTTACTTTTGCAGATCAGATACTTAAATCCTTATCAGGTTACTCATCTACCGAAGAGAAGCTTCAGCAGCTATGTAAGAAGCATTTAGAAACATTGGAAGATCTCAGATTGTTTGAACCGAGGCTAAAACAGCTCGAGAAACAAGTTGTTTCTCAGCAGAGAGAAAAAGAATCATTACAAGCCGAATTGAATAGAATGATACTTGCTAAATCACGATTAGAAAGTCTTTGCCGAGAAATGCAAAGACAAAGCAAAGCTGTGAAAGTTAGTTTATAATTTTGATAAGCATTCAAAATTCTTTTTCATTTTTTGCAATCTTTGTGTATACATATTTATGTTGAAATTTTAATATAATCTGAAAGGTTAAGATATGTTATTTTACTGCATTTTTTTCTTTTCTTTAGCATTAATTGTATCCTGCTAATATTAATACACTATCTGAAATTTAACTATATTAATTATAAATCTCGCTGATTTCTTTTTTGTTTGTCATTCTTTGGCCAATGATTATTTTTATTTTGTCTACACATAAGGCAAAATTAAATTTTTAGTAATGAATTATAAGATTTTAATTTGCCCTAAAAGCTTAAAATATATTATTTCACTGCATTTTTTTTCTTTGCTTTATTGTTAATTGTGTCCTGCTAATATTAACATGCTATCTCTAACTTTACTTTTAATTATAAATCTTGATAAATTTTTTTGATCATTTTTTAGTCTAAAAAGTTTTAATTTTTATGAAAATTTCATAAGTGTTTTTATTTTTTGATTGTTCTACATATCAGCCCATTTTTCTTTAAATTTAGTAGTTTTATAGTAGTTAATAAAGCTAGTTTTTGACTTACCAAATTCTGTTACTGTTATCAGATTTTTCTAAAATTAACTGCAGGGTAGAAGTAGAATATAGACATTTTGACCATATATTTATATGTGTGTATATATATATATATATATATATATACATATAATATTATACTTTTTAGCGTACTCTACTATTCAGTATTTTGTTATAATCAGAATTTGTATAATAATGCGTAATGTTAAAAAAGTTATTATGAAGATAAAAAATTTTCTGTGAACTGCGTTTGCATGTTCATGTATGTTACAGGTATCTGCATATAAGACAAAATTAAATTTTTAGTAAAGAGTTTTGTAATGTTTTTGTGGAGATTAGATAATTAGAAAAGTTTATTATTATTTGAGAAATTTATTTCAAATAGAAATTACACAGAAATGACATGGTGTCTATAAATATTTACGTTTATAAATAAAAAAGTTAAAAAATGAATCTAAAATTTTTATCAAATTTTAGGTTGAAAATCTCTAGGCATGAGTTTCATAATTATTTTATTCATCAAAATTAAAAAGTTAATCTTTTTAATATTTTTCTTCGATTTAATTAGCCAAAAGTTTGTGATAATTCAAATTTTTCTGTCATCCATGAAGAGCTATATATTAGAATAACTGAAAAACTGTACAAAATAACTTTTGAAATCTGTGAAAAAGACAAATTTTCCGATTTTTTGGAACATCACTTATACATTTTTGCAATTTATAAGTGACCTTTTATTTTTTGTCAGTTATGCAATTTTTTGTGTCCATACTAACTTAACTAACTAAGCATTTCACATTTTGACAAGTTTGTACAGAAATTTCATTTCAATACATAGCTTTCTCAATGAATAACGTAGAAAAAACTATTACAAGTAAATACTTTAATATTACAATTTTTAAGTATTAAAGAGTTGAAATTATATTTTAAACACTGATAACTCACAAGTGTCTACCTTTTATTATGGAAAGTCTGTAATCAGATTTAGGCATTATAATGTTATAGTAAATATGTTAATACTGTTGATAGAAAAACTATTTAAAAAAGTTATGCCTTCAAATTAATAAATCATGTATGCTCTCTTAGTTTCAGAATACTTACGCAAATTAATTGCCAGCATTAATTTTTATGTTCTCCAATTAAGTATTATAAAGAATAGCATTGAAATTTTATTTTAAACATTGATAACTCACAAGTGTCTACCTTTTACTATGGAAAATCTGGTAATCAGATTCAGACATTATAATGTTATAGTAATTATGTTAATAATGTATATGGAAAGACTATTTTAAAAAGTAATGTCTTCTCCTTAATAAATTGTGTATACTCTTTTAGTTTCTGAATACTTACGTAAATTAATTGCTATCTTTTTTTCCATCACTTAAAGAAAAGAAAATAATCTAAAAGTTGCCATTGCTCCGATTGTTATTTTGAAGGCATTTGTAATTCCATTAATATTTCTCTGTGTTACTTACCTATCCTAAATTCTTTCACTATAATTCAGGAGGAAAGCCTTATTCGAATCAAGGAAGAAGAAGAGAAAAGAAAAGAAGTAGCCAATAAATTTCAAACTACTCTTAATGACATCAGTACCTTGATGCAAGAAAACTCAAAGAGGAATACAGCATTAAGAGAAGAAAATGCTGAACTTTCTCAAAAGCTGAAGATGTTGATGGATAATTATTCTGTGTGGGAAGAAGTGAGATTAACATTATTTTTTTTTCTCTCATAATTGCATATTTTAACATTCATAGCAGGACTTAAAAATTATATTGCCAAAAATTCGGATCTAACATACATTTTTCATTCTTTTATTCCGGAACGGAAGATCATTTACTCAAAAACATTATAAAATAAGCATTTAATGCCTCTTCTAATTTTGACAAGAATCATCAAGATAGATGTCTTATGGCATCTTGGCAATACCAATTATAATTTAATAAACGAAACCAAAGCAAGAGAGAGAAAAATCTATTTTACTTCATAAGACTGAAATATTAATATTTTAATTATAAATAAGAATTTATAAAACAGAGTTAGCTTGTTTTTTATTCCCTTTATAATGCTTATTTTTATTGAAAATGTTTTGTCGAAATGTAAGAAAATAAAAAATAATAAACACCAAAATTGAAATGTTATAGAAATCATCAGAAAGTGATAAATATCAATTATATAACTCTTACGTTTCATCAACTTCAAATCTTAAATGAAATTCTACAAATAAGAGTAGGTGAATTTCTTCTATGTGTAAGTTTGTCTAAAATTCAATCCTACTCATCAGATATGTTTCCTTTCGCTGTTTTGCCTTTTTGAAAAATGAAGGTATTACACTAATAATTTCATTAAATAAGTAGTTAAATAGCTGAAATAAAAACATGCAAAAGTAGACTATATTTTATTTTATTCATACTAAATAACATTTTGAATATCAAAGCAAAACAACTTCATCAATGCTTATTTGTGCCTAATACTTTGCTTTTTCCAAACTTTCCAATTTGTTAACATATACTTTTATTTTATACCTAAAATAAAAATGTTGTAGGTATATTATTAATTAAATTTTTTTTACTCTTATTAATTTAATATGTTTTCATTTATATGCCCTTGAAAAAGATGTTAATGTAAAAGTTTAATTCGGGTCTGTATTTCAGAAACTAAGCCTGGCTGAACATGTAAAAAATTTTTTAACAATGCTACATAGGTGTCTGAAATTTTAGCTGATTTTTTAGCATAAAACTTTTTATGTTTCTAAAGCAATGAAACCTTTTTTACTCTAGGTCAGAATTATTATATGTTTTTAAACAATATATATATCTTTCTTCAAAGTTTAAAGTTGTATGTTACGGCAAACTTTTTAAAACCATTACTTGTTAACGGATCATTCACTATTGTGAACTAAGTTAATTATTTAAAAGAATATATTTTAAGTGAGTTGTTTAGTTTTTATTTAGTTTTTTAAGTAGTTTTTAGTATTACAGAATATTCACAATATTATTATATAATAATGAATGCTAGCTAAATAATACACCAATGTTAATTTTGTTTATAGAATATGAAAAAGATTGTNGATCATTCACTATCGTGAACTAAGTTAATTATTTAAAAGAATATATTTTAAGTGAAATGTTTAGTTTTTATTTAGTTTAAGTAGTTTTTAGTATTACAGAATATTCACAATATTATTATATAATAATGAATACTAGCTAAATAATACACCAATGTTAATTTTGTTTTTAGAATATGAAAAAGATTGTTCAACATAAAGAGTTAGAAGCTCAGTTAGCAAATGCCAAGTGTGCAAAAGTTAATTTGGAATTAAAGCAAGAAACTGAAAAGTTCCTCAGAGAAAAACAGACATTGTTAGAAAATATGAGTGAATTGCAAAAGAAATGCACTTTACTTACTGCAAATGAACTTCAGCTTAGAACTGAATTGGGAGATTATACAAATAAATATGAGGAATTCCAATCAGTTCTTACCAACAGTAGTAAAGTATTTGCAACATTCAAATCTGATATGGATGCAGTAAGTTAATATTTATATATTGTAATTTTCTCAAAATGTGTATATTTAAATTTTATTTTTAGAAAATAGAGTATGTTGTATGTATATTTATAAATTAGCTTATAGTGAATATAGTGATTTTTTTCGTGTTAAAAAAGCTAGTAGAATTTGTTGAGTAGTAATTTTTGTTTAATTTCTTAGTGATCAGCCCTGATCAAAAATTTTGTCCTTAATTTCAAGTTTGAATAACAGTTATTTTATTTACTTAAATCTGAGATTCAAAACTTTTTTAGTATACAAGGAGTTAATGTTCGGCTGACCACCTAACCGGAACATCTGCTCCTTCACCCCAGAGCCCAAAGGTCAAGAAAACTGAGATGGGCACAGTAGGCCTTGGCCCTCTGTGGGCTGTCGCACCGCTGAGAGAGAGAGGAGTTAATGTGAAATAATACTAAACAAAAAAAAGTCCCACCCTGAAATTGAAAAAACAATGTAAATGTTTTATGTTTGATTTTGTGAAAAGTAACTTGACAATTATTTTCTTTAACATATTTCTAATGCTATGAATGATAATAAGGTTTTAAAGAACTGATAAATACATGACCCTATATTAGATTTTATAAAACTTTATTTTTTTTTAAAAAATTGTTTTAAGTAGCTTAACACACACAAATGCTAAGTATATAAATTTCTAGATAACTAATTTAACAGTTTTGTCTAGGATTTTTGTGTGACATGTTATTTTATTTAGTAATTCTAAATTCAGAATGTAAGTAATTATACAAATTTGTACTAGCAATTAATTTTGTATCAATTATCAATCTATTTTTTCTAGCTTTTTTGGATGTTTGTAAAATTAAAAAACTCCATAATTCGATTAAATCATTTATAAGCTTACTTATTTAAATTTGTTTGTTAAATACCATATTTCATATAAAGAAAATACTTTAAACTTTTTATGATTTTGACTTTAAAAAATATATTTGAACAAAATATAAGTAAATAAAATAACTTTTTTGTTTCAGACTTCCAAAAAGATAAAGAAACTTGAAAAAGAAACCAATGTGTACAAACAAAAGTGGGAAAGTAGCAACAAAGCCCTCTTAGATATGATAAGTCATGTAAGTGCAAACAATTTTTTAATATGTTTTAATACAGCAAATATAAATAAATGAAGAATGCCTAATATCAGGTTGATTCATCTAAAAATAGATAAAAGTATCTTCTGTTTGCGTACACAGGTGTTATGTTGCTCTAAACTTAAAAAAAATTGTCATGATTTTCCTTTGGCAGTGTATTTCAGTAAGAAGTTGGAATATACTGAATAACATTATAAGACACATTTGACAAAACCATGGAAATTCAGAGTGAGGAAATCGCATAACCTTGAGGCACCTACTGTATTTACAAAGAGTGTAGAATATTTAATTTCTTTGAGTTTGGGAATCCAGCTGTACATTGCTCTTATGCTATCAAACATAAACCCAAAGTTGCTAGTACAAAACACATGAGGAATTAAATGCCAGTAAAAAGGTACAAGTTCTACTGACTCTAAACATAAAATACTCTAAATCAGTTTTTTTTCTTCTTATTGAGAAATTAGATTTTTTTTTAATTATTACCTATTTACTGTTTTTATTCAGTGAATAAAGTTTCTTTTAAGCCTATTAAATTGCATCAATGGGGGAGGGGTGCCAACTTTATCAGTAATTCATTAGAACTCAAATACATTTCCCAATACATAATANTTTTTTTTTATATTTACTTTTTTTATTCAGTGAATAAAGTTTCTTTTAAGCCTATTAAATTGCATCAATGGGGGAGGGTTGCCAACTTTATCAGTAATTCATTAGAACTCAAATACATTTCCCAATACATAATAAATTATGCTAAGTCTAAAAAAATTACATGCTCAGTATGATCAACACAAAGACATGAAAAATAGTGCAAATATAACACAATCAAAACTGCAACAATTTTTAACTATTAATTGTAATTTATTAAAAATTTAATTTTCAAAGTGTGAATTCAAAAGTTAACTTATACAAAAAATATAAGATAATGATATCTTGACATTAAATCTGTGAAAGTTTCACTATATTTTACTGATATACTGGATTCTAGAAAAATCATAATAAATAAAATTTATAATTATTTTCGTTGTAAGTAGATAAACCTTGGTGATACCTCTTTACTATAATTCATTTTTGCAAGTAACCTTGTTTTCTAATAATATGCTAAACAGATTTTAATAGCATGTTTAAAAACGTCTTTTTAATATAATTTTTATTATCACAAGCAGGTTAAATATTTGGATATTTTATTGTAGAAAGAAAAACAAGACAGGGAAAATGCAAATGCACAACAAAGAATACTAACTCTAGAAAAATTGTGCAGAGCTTTACAAGCTGAGAGAAATGATTTAAGGAATGAGTTAAATGCTTTAACTGCAAGTAAGCAATTTTTTTCTACTTCTTCATAAGGTGCAAGCTATATAAACGTCCATTCTCAATAGTAATGTTTATAGAATAAAGTAAATTATTATATTTTTTCTCATATAAACAAATATTAGTCTGAAATGTTCATGTTTAATTTGCATAATGACTTATATTGTAAATATGTATTTTTTGTATTGTGTAACTGAATCTTATAATCAATAGATGTACAATAAAATATTTTATTTTAAATTTTATGATCAAATACGTTTTACATTATTAAAATAATATTATATATTTTTTCCAACCAATTCTTTTACCAATTGCTTTTTTTTAAAATTATTTTTAAGCATATTTATACTAAGTAAATAAATCATATTTTTCTTTTTTAATCATATCAATATTTTCAATCTAAACATAAAATTTTAAAAGACTACAATTAACAAATAATTTACTGAGTGTATGTTTACTTTAATAACATTAATTTATGATTTAAAAAAATTGATACCAACATTTGCTTGGCCAGTTAATGATTTTTGTACTGAACCTGGCTTATTTATTTTACGACATAATAGTGCAATGTTTTTCATTCAGCTTCTTTAGCTTTGTTTATATCAATTTTAAAAAGTTGTTTGGATATCAACTTATATTACTTTTGACATTAAATAAAAATTTCATGATTATTTTAACAGTTTTAAATAAAAATGGTAATAATCACTTGTAAATATAGTTTACTTAAGGGATCCACAAAATAATGACCAACATATTTTCACAATTAGTTTTACTTTTCTAAATTAGTTTTATTGCTTTTATGAATTAGTTTTATTGTTCAATTAATATTAAACTAGCACTAAATGCATTTACAAATTTAAAAATAATAATAAACAACCATCTTTATTACTTGTTAATTTGCTAAATTTCAAACATTACTATAACTCAATATTTTAATGAAGTCCTGGCCCTTTCATTTTTAACTTCTTATTCTTGATTACTCGATTTTTATTCCCTCTAACTTGATTTGACTCAAAGCTTTAAAATCCTTAAAACTGAATAAAGCAAAAAGGAAACTAATTGTAATAATAAAATAAAAAGTTAACCACAATAAAGGAGGTAATAATTTCTGGCCCCCCCTCTTTTAATCTGTTTACAATAATGAATATTGCTTGCAAAAAAAGATAAAATTTGATTTCTTATTCCGTCAGCATCAATAATATACTGGAATTTGAAAATGAAAGATTTCCACTTAGCATTCATATTTATCTCATTATTTTCAAAATCACTGAGTTCTGGATGATCTTCCCATATTTATAATTTGCTAATAGAGTTTTTGAGGAAAAAGTATTCACCCCCAAAGGTGTCTTAGGAAAAATTAAAAAATTTTAATATGAAAGTTAAAATGTATCTTATTTATGATGTAAATAGAAATATGTACAATCTTGAAGAAAAACATAGTGGGGCAATTCCATATGTGACGGAATGACATTTTGACTTGCAAAATAACAATTAATTGAAGTTTCTATGTATCTAATTTCAAATAACAAATTTTTTTTCTCATGCATATCATTATTATTGGCATAATGCGCTCCTTAAACTAAAAAAACAGGATTTTCTATCTTTTTTACTTTTAATTTTACGAACTTTTTATTTGCGTGACGGAATGACATTTTGGCAACCAAGCTTTTGGCATGCCGCTTAGAACTGGTAGTTTCTGCGAATTTTGCAGCTATTATTTTTCTGAACTATTTTATACTTTTAGTATAATGTGTAAGCAATGTAAAATGTGAATTTGGAAAATTAACCTCTGGTTGGCNTATTTACAATAATGAATATCGCTTGTAAAAAAAGATAAAATTTGATTTCTTATTCCGTCAGCATCAATAATATACTGGAATTTGAAAATGAAAGATTTCCACTTAGCATTCATATTTATCATTATTTTCAAAATCAATGAGTTCTGGATCTTATAATTCGCTAATAGAGTTTGTGAGGAAAAAGTATTCACCCCTAAAGGTGTGTTAGGGAAAATTTAAAACATTTAATATGGAAGATAAAATTCATCTTATTAATGATGTAAATAGAAATACAATCACAAAGAAAAACAAAGTGATGAAGCATAGAATTATTTCAAAATAATGAATGAAATAATAATTTACAAAAAATAAAATTAATGCCAAATGAGTTTTTTTAACAATATGAATCCCTTCTCAAAACATAATTGTCAACATTTTCAAGTTATAAACTGAAACTAGCAGTTAAACTTTTGATAGGTCGTAGCTTTTGAATTTTTCTGTTGGATTCAAGTTATCTTGAATTGACGACATAGGAAACACATGATTATTTTTTCTATTTTGCTTCCAATGTGTCCTGGATAACATTTTTAAAAACATTTTCTAATTTTTCCCTATTTATAATATGTACTGATCAACATCAATATCATTGAATACTAAGTGGAATAAAATAAATCATTTGTATAAAAAATAAATAGTTATTTTATTCCAATAAGCATCCAATCTTATGTATAAATATAGGACAACCTTTTAAGCAACATTGTTTTTGTAATTTGTAGATTATTTTATTCCACTTAATATTCAATGTGATCAATTAATATTGGATAACATTTTAAGCAATATTATTTTTTTAACTTTTCCCAGTTATTTTTTAATTTTTCCCACATTAAAAAAATATTTCTGTAGCATCCTAAGTGTCTGATTACTAGACAATATTTGAAGCAATACTATTTTTTAATTTTTCACTTTTTATAGCATCATCGTAATTAGACATAAGTCGATCAAAATAAACCACTTTTATGAGGAATGTGTGGTTTATTTTTTTCCCACTTAATATCCCATGTGTTTGATTAATTTTGGATAACACTTTAAGCAACATTATTTTCCCCAGTTTATAATATGTAGCTGTTATATCATAATTATTTTTTAGCTGGAGACTGCCAGAATGAACAAAATGTGCCTTTGCCATCTACTGAATCTCTTGACGTGGCTACTAGTAGTTCATGAAATTATATTATTAAAATATAGGAGTGTCCATGAGTGTAATTGAATCCTGTGACATTGACTGATCACTTTCATTATGTATTACTAAAATATTTAAATTACTTATAAATTATATGGTATAGTAAACGTTTTATTTGCTCATAATTTTTGTCTTTAGCTCTTCAATATGCATATAGTTTCTGCATATGCATATAGTTCTTAAGATAACTTTTTTTAGTTTATAGTGATTATGTTGAGAAGTATTTTGTTTGTTAATTTTGTGTATTGTTTGGATAAAACGTAATAACTTTTTATTTAAAATGAAATTAAACACAATGATATTTGGCTCTAGTTTAAATCCATAAAAATTATACTACATTCAATTTAACTATTTAAAGTAGTAAGTTTGAGGATTAAAAAAAGTGATATGTTACCATTGATAGCTTGGAATTTTATTAAAACTGGAATAGAACAAATTAAAATTTTGTAAGACTTCCAAATATTGTTTTAATGATTTATTTAGTGAAAAAATTTCTGAGCACAATTTTGACTTGTAGCGTTCTTTTATTTATTTGAGCTTTATATTTTTTTGTGTCAATGTATTTTTTATGGAGTTATGTGATTTACAACCATTTTTTATTATCTATTGAATATTAAAGCAATTTTTTAAAACTAACTAGTCTTAAAAAATCTTCTATGACATGAATTTTGCAACAGAGTGAAACTTTTAGTCATAAAAATATTTAACATAAGTCTTATGAACAATTTATTTACAAATAATAAAAAAATATTCGTAAATAAAATTTTACATTATTTTAAGTTATTTAGGCTGTTGTAACCTAGTAATAAAGTATTGGATAATTTCATATTTGTGTTATATAATATGATAAAATAAGCTTTTAAAATTTGCTCAACTTTAAACCTACTAATTCATAACAGAGAGTTACAGCACATCCTTTTGTAGACTTTCAGTTATTAAACCCTACATTCATTTCAATAACCCATATAGTGCTTCCATATACTATTTCCATAGAAATAATACTTTAACTGAAATGTTAGTAATAGTTTTCTCTTTTTAAATATTTGTTTTTTGATTTCAAGATAATTTTAGGGTTACAAATTACTCCATAACAATAGTTCATATGTTGCGCAAAATTTAAAAATTATATTTTTATTCTAATTTCAAGTACAGTTTTTTTATATTAATATTAGGCAATTTCAGCCTTAATATGTACTGTATAGATTCATTTATAAAAATAATATAGTTCAGTATTTCAATATTGATTACAGATTTGTCATCAATATTAAGTCAACCAGTAGTACTAAGCTGCATAACAGACTAGAATAAGAATTTCTTAATCATGTAATTTCAAAAGGATTTTAAATTGAAGATTTCTTCTTTAACAATTTTTGTTAAATAAAATACTATTAAAAATATTTTATCTACTAAATTTGTTAAAGTTCAAAATAGTTTATGTATTCTTATTTTTCCAAAGACTTGATTATTTTTCTTGGTAGCCAAATTCTACAAAGCAAACTTCTCATGGTGTAAATTCAATAAAAACTTTATGATGCTAATATTCACTGAAATAAATTTGCTTATGAATTAAAATTTCATCAGTGATAGAATAATTGTTAGCTCATTTTAAATTTTGCTTTTGACTAAATTTAATTAATTCCATAGCAATCATGCTATCTTTTTCTTGCCTGTATTTATCTCACACACAATGCTTTTGTTTTGTGATTGTAACTTTTAAGGACTTAAAAATGTCAGAATTTCTTAAATTTATTTATTAATGCAACTGTGGCTTTTAAAGACATTTTTTAGTCTCCTGTGTTATTTGAATGTAAGTTTGTTGGGTGGTATTATTTTCTTTGTTAAATGTGTCAGGAAAGTAATATAAGTATTTCTTTTTTTAAAAAATTACATGTTCTTAAATATGACATATTCATTGTCGGATTGTTATGCATTTATATAAGAGAATAATAAAAAATTGAAACTGTTCATTATTGATAGCAAACTTATTTTGTGATACTAATAATATTACAATTTCACTTTAAGTAGTTTTTACATATACAGTGAAACCTCCTGTTATGGACACTCCTGCAAAACGAACGCCTCTCAATACGGACATATTTTTAATTCCCCGGGAATCTTCTATGAATAAACCATTGCGTATATTCTCCGCAAAGCGGACACTCCCGTAACCGGACAGTCATTTTGGTCCTGAAACGTTTTTTATCTCTACAAACCGGACACAACTTTTTCAAAATAAATTGCAAGCTAAAAAAAATTCAACTTTTCACCATTTTTAAAGCATGTAAATAAAACTTTTTGCCTTATCCATAACTAAAAATATTGTTAAGCTATTTCACCACCGAAAAATCAATCTTTCTCCTGTCACCTTGCCTTATCTTTGTAAAGAA